GACTTGGAGAAAGTTGAAATAAATTCATAAAATATAAGAAGTCTTTTGTTGTGATATAAGTTGTGTGTAAGTTGTGTGTGTGTGTGTGTGTGTGTGTGTGTGTATATAAACGCAAGCCATAAACACAACAACCAAGTAGAAACCAGGAAGGGGGCAATAACCGCCCGGCTGTTGGCACGTGTTGTATCTCTTTATATTAAGACGAGTAGAATTCGACATCCATCAGTCCTATTCAACAAAGATTTTATACGGTCAACATGTTTAAACATGACTTTTAAAAAAAAAAATCGATAGTAAAGGCGCGTGAGTTGGATTAGACAATGGGGTACAGCACCTGCCTTTGAGTATGACGCTAGTAGCGGCACACAAAAGGACATGATCACACAGACTTCAGACAAAGGGAGAATGAGATTGCAACACACAAAGGGAAGGGGTACCACCTGCTACCACCTCCCCCACCCGACCCCGGGTTTCACCCGCGTCACCCCCACCCACACCCTCACTGGAGGGTGGTGAAATACTATTTTACGATATACTGTTAAAGTCGGACTGTCGTCCAGGTCAATAAAAACAACCAACAAATGGGCAACTGGTCAACAACCGATAAACTGATCATCTGGTCAACTACTGGTCAGTTGGTCCACTGGTCAACAAAATGTATAACATTATTATTTAACCATTAATAAAACAATAGCTCAAGTGGTCAGTTGGTCAACTGGTCAATATATCGATCAATTGATCAAAACAATAACCTCCTCCTCCTCTATGATAATCGTTTTGGTCAACAAGTGGTCAAGTGGTCAACATACCGATCAAAACAATAACCTACTAGTCAAAATAAGCAACAGTTGTTTAATGAACAATCAACAACGGGCAAAAAAATCAATAGTTGGTCAAAAAAACAGGGACACAAATCAACAGGTGGTCGAGAATCAATCAATAACGGTCAAAATATGCAACAGGTGGGCAAAAATCAATCAATAACGGTCAAAATATGCAACAGGTGGGCAAAAATCAATCAATAACGGTCAAAATAATCAATCACTCCTCCTCCTCCTCCTCCTCCTCCTCTTCCCCCTCGCCTCCTCCTCCTCTTACGACCCAAACACGACCTACTATACTACTTATATATATATATATATATATATATATATATATATATATATATATATATATATATATATATATATATATATATATATATATATATATATATATATATACATAAACCAGAGGCGTATCTAGGTTTTCGTTGTAGGGGGAGCGAAAAGAGCAATAAAAGGCGCCGAATTTTTAACACGTTCTATAATATATATATATATATATATATATATATATATATATATATATATATATATATATATATATATATATATATATATATATATATATAATTACTAGCTGTATGTCATTACTTCGCTATGATGTAAAATAAATTGAAAGTAGCACTCTAAAGAAATAAGAAAAAACACACAATGTAGGCCGACAAAACAAAAATTGTATCAATCTAAACAAAAAATATATATACACACACACACACACTACAACCAAAAACAACTTGATTCACCACTGTCCGTTCACTTTAGGTCAATTATCCAACCCGGTGTATACTTAGGTGTGACATTAATGTCGCTCTACACCAGGGGTTCCCAACCCCGTGCCCGCGGGCGCCATGGCGCCCGCCGAACGATTCGTATGTGCCCGCCTCTCACTATTCGACAGAGACAGAATTTTTTTCATAAACATTATTAAAAGGTTGAAGGGGATGGAAATCGAAAGTTTGAGGGGGGGGGGGGTGCAAATCGGTGACGGGAAGGGTCGCTACGCCTCTGGAAGGAGTTTGTCGATTTAAAATAGGTGGTGCCCGCCACCCTACCGATATTTTAGAATGTGCTCTAGAGGAAAAAAAGAGGTTGGGAACACCTGCTCTACACAATTGTGGTGGTGAGGTGTGGGGGGGGGGGGGGGGAAGATAACCAACTCAGAGTGAACATAGCGTCAGTTTTTAGATGACTGTTCTAAACATACATATATATTACACAAATATATATTACACAAATATATATTACACAAATAGATTTAAATAAGTAGCAGTGGTATTATGACAATATTTTTTTTTACAGAGGGGTCCATGGGGGAGGGGGTTGTAACTCAGTAGCGTACGCAGGGGGGAGCAGGGGGAGCGGCCGCTCCCCCTCTGGCCATTTTCAGCAAAGTGGCGCCTTTTTGGAAACTTTTTTAATTCAGTTTTAAACAATGAAATTTGTTAAAAAAATATTTTTAGTCGGCACATCTATGTAAATCAAAAGATTTCTTTTCATGAAGCAATTAAGCATTATTGTACTAGTCTAGTAGTGTCTACGTTTACAACACGTATTAACAGCTGAATCATTTTGCCATTCTAAAAATAACCATTACGATGCGTTGCAATGTTTAAAAAACCTCTACGGGTAGTACCACTTGGCAAGAGGGGTGTTAAGTTTAAGGCAACTTTATAATGTTTTTGCGTACGAATAATTGAATTAGAAAATGTTATATATAAAACTGCACACATAATTACTTTATATATACAGTTTGAATCGTGTGATTAATTAAAAAAAAATACAATACAGAAACAAATACAAGTGATGTGGCACCTCTATTTAAATTTACTTATGAGCAAACTGCGTAGTGGTAGGGAAATTTTGACAAGGTCAACAACGTCATCACGATGAAGTAGTAGTATTCTTACAGTTTGGGCGATAGTGATTACGATTACAAATTATATGAAACAGTTAGAACCCCCTCCCCCATGGACCCCTCTGTAAAAAATATTGTCATAATACCACTGCTACTTATTTAAATCTATTTCTGTAATATATATCTGTGTAATATATATTTGTGTAATTTATATGTATGTTTAGAACAGTCATCTAAAAACTGACGCTATGTTCACTCTGAGTTGGTTATCTCCCCCCCCCCCTACACACACACACAAACACCACCACGATTGTGTAGAGCGATATTAATGTCACACCTAGGTATACACTGGGTTGGATAATTGACCTAAAGTGACCGGACTGTGGTGAATGAAGTTGAACCGACCCACCCCCCCACACCCACCATGAACTGATCTGTTAAGTACATGTAGAAAAACGCGTAATGATGTACCAAAGTACCATGCCGCCAGAAAATTAGCTTTTTAAACGTAAAACTCTGTGAATATTGTTTTTGCAATTACCAGTAAAAAGGTGTGTGATCAATACAGTGATCTAACCCATACCTATCACTATGTTAAAAAATTACCTTTAAAGAACTCAAAGAAGCAGTAGTGAATTAAAAATATTTGATCTGTACAAAAACACCGATATTTAGTTAAATGTAGGCTGTTATTCCGAATGTTATTCTATTTTATCGAAAAGCGTGGTTTTATACCAACTCTGATTTTAAAAACTTTCATTATGCTGTAATGCTTTAGCATTTATAATGACGATATATTATATTCTGATTATAGACAAAAACATTTTGTAAACACGAATAGTGTTAAAGAATTTCATTATATTCTAAAGTAATTATTTATTTGTTTTGACGTTTATAATTAAATGTGTAGATATATACATATTTATAGTAAGAGAGTGATTATTTCCCCTATTTCACTTGTCTTAATTAAATAATTTCCCAGGAATTATTATGTAAGAATTTTTTTTTACAAGAATTACAAAACAGATTGTGTTACGTTCATTGTTTTTTGGTTGTTGTGTGTGTATATATATATATTTTGTTTAAATTGATACAATTTTTGTTTTGTCGGCCTACATTGTATGTTTTTTCTTATTTCTTCAGAGTGCTACTTTCAATTTATTTTACATCATAGCGAAGTAATGACATAAAGCTAGTAATTATATATATATATATATAGATAAACATATATATATATATATATATATATATATATATATATATATATATATATATATATATATATATATATATATATATATAATTATATATATATATATATATATATATATATATATATATATATATATATATATATATATATATATAATTATATATATATATATATATATATATATATATATATATATATATATATATATATATAATACACGTATACAGAACTTGTTCAAAATTCGGCGCCTATTTTTGCTCTTTTCGCTCCCCCTACAACGAAAACCTGGATACGCCTCTGTTGTAACTGTTTTATATAATTTGTAATCGTAATGACGTTGTTGACCTTGTCAAAATGTCCCCACCACTACGCAGTTTGCTCATAAGTAAATTTAAATAGAGGTGCCACATCAGTTGTATTTGTTTCTGTATTGTAATTTTTTTAAAATTAATCACACGATTCAAACTGTATGTATAAAGTAATGATGTGTGAAGTTTTATGTATAACATTTTCTAATTCAATTATTCGTAAGTATATACATTATACAGTTGCCATAAACTTAACACCCCTCTTGCCAAGTGGTACTACTCGTAGAGGTTTTTTAAACATTGCAATGCATCATAATGGTTACTGATGCAGCTGTTAATACGTGTTGTAAACGTAGACACTACTACAATAATGCTTAATTGCTGCATGAAAAGAAATCTTGTGATTTACATAGATGTGCCGACCAAAAATATTTTTTTTAACAAATATCATTGTTTAAAACTTTGAGTTTAAAAAGTTTCCAAAAAGGCGCCACTTTGCTGAAAATGGCCAGAGGGGGAGCGGCCGCTCCCCCTGCTCCACCCCTGCGTACGCTACTGACATAAACATATTTAATAAAAAGTACGTTAAGGCAAGAAATACCAAGTATTTGAGATTAGCGTCAACCTTGAGGCTCAGATCCTATACAGCAGCTCAATAGAAAGGCTTAACATTCGATATTTCTGTTGTTAAAATTATATCAAGATTGACAGTTATATTCACGATAAATACATCCACATTTTTTTATCTTACCATACACTTTCAAGCAGTAGTAGATTTAAGTTTTTATCGATGGTGAGGAATTATTTATATAAAATAAAAAGAAACAGTTTGAATACGGACATTTTCACGAAGGATCTTCTTCAGTGCTCTCTAAAGATAAAATTACGATGGATTTCATGAACAAGTTTTTATTTATTCATATGTTGTTATTGTTGTGTAGTCACAGTATTGATAGTGTGATAATAAGTAACACAACATCGGCTACTACTAAGGCGGCACCTACAACGACGAAAACAACCACAAAAATACCCACTACCACAACGAAAGCACCAACGACTACTGCGAAAGCACCAACGACCACTGCGAAAGCACCAACGACTACAACGAAAGCACCAACGACTACAGCGAAAGCACCAACGACTACAGTGAAAGCACCGACCACAACGAAAGCACCAACCACCACATCAAGGACACCAATAACCATAAGCACTGGTTCAACTACACTGGAGACTGCAAGACAAATAAATTGTTCGGTAAGTTTTTTTTTTAAATTAAAAATAACAAAAAAAAAAAAAACAATTTTACTGATGAATTAAAAATCTTGAGAGTCTCATTGTGGTTTTTATTTCATCTAAAGAATGCTTATGTACAGAAACTTCTTACCTAACAATCTGTTTTTAATTTAGGATTTTCGAAGCATTTTTAAAAATTGTAACTCAGAATATCGCACGTTAAATAGAAAATATTTAACAAATGATAAGTAAAGAAAAAATACAGAATTCTAAAACATTAAAATAAGTAAAAACAAAAATGTAAGAACAAAATACATAAACATAAAGCTGATAATTCAAATGGCCGCCCTAAAAAAACAGCCGCCAAAATATCGTCTCTCTAAATGCCGACAGCAAAAAAACAATTACGAATGAAGTAGACTGACTTAATTTGTACCTACAGCTGTTCTTAAGATCTTAACATTTGTATTGTTGACAACAGGCTGTAGAGAACCCATCGTTAACCGACCCGTGTATGATTTGCAGCTGTAACTACGGCATGTATGATTGCTACCTAAATTGTTGCCAGCCTTATGAGTGTGTTGATAGAGTATACAAGCCTGGAGTCTGCTGTCCTTTTTGTCCCAACGGTGGGTGATTTACTCATTTACTAACAAAATTGTGATTTTCAACAGCAGAACTTTTTATATTTGAATATCACTTTCCATTTTACAACTGTATACAATTATTCCTTATCTTTGTTGTTGTCAGGTCGTAACTGCAGAATTGCCGGCTCCATAGTTCCAGATGGTCTTATGGTCGAGGTACCTGGTCGTGGAGTGTGTACCTGTGGTCCAGGGAGTCTAGGGGAGGAGCCACAGCCCGTGTGTTTTCCGGCGCCCACGACTTCTTCAACGACAACAACGACAAAAGCACCACCTACGACAACAACTCTTAAATCAACGACATCGAAACCAAAAACGTGTGAAGTAAGCACCGTATTTTCTCGTTGATACCACGAACCTTAGTGTTGACTTAAACGTATTAGCAACAAAAATAATTTTTTTTTCAAAAAATATTACAACCTATTATACAAAACATTATATTGATTTATCGAAATTGAAAATTTGAAACCTCTCTAGGAGTAAGCCTAACAACTTCCCAAAGTTTCATGACGATCAGATGAAAGATGTAGTAAATATTATATATATATATATATATATATATATATATATATATATATATATATATATATATATATATATATATAAATATATATATATATATATATATATATATCACTTCCTCGTCAGTCGTCAGTCGTCAGTCGTCAGTCTAGACCGAAACGCAGGAGTGAAAATTCGGAAACTTCTACTTGACCGATACGATTCACACTTGGCACGTGGGTCAAGACATGAAGACAATGCAATCTGAAATTAAATTTGACTAATTGGATGCCTAATTAATTTTTTATGAATTAATTAAAATTTGGACCGAATTAGTAGGCATGTCTAGCCAACCACACCACACGCGTCATCACGTTCAATAGCTGCGCCATCACGGTACGTTCAATAGCTGCGCCATCACGTTCAGTAGGCGCGCAATGGTTTTTAGTCATGTAACTCTATTGTAAATAAAACATGTAAAGTACTGAAAAAAATTTCATAAAAAACGTTTTAATAACAAGCTTTTATGTAATAATGTACTAAAAAGTAGAAAATAAATTATAGACTACTATTTAAATAACTATAAAGAAAAGCGTGGGTCACTTTAGTATCTATTGGATACCTTTACTTATGTTAAAGAAGACACCCACGCAAAAAATAGCAAAATATATAGAGAAAAACTTGAGGGGGGGGGGGTGCAAATCGAAAGTTTGAGGGGGGGAGGGGTGCAAATGGAAAGTTTGGGGGGGGGGGGTGCAAATCGAAAGTTTGAGGGGGGATGCAAATCGAAAATTTGAAAGTTTGTCCCCGGGAAGTGTCGCTATGCCTCTGAGGGGGGGGGGAACACCATTAAGTGCCGCACAGGGTGACACCCGACCTCGCTACGTCACTGTTGATATATGTAATTAGAAATTACAAATACGTATAAGGCTTACTGATATCTACTTCAAGCTTTCAGATTTTTAGGTGCCTATGAGCAGATGTTGAACGGTATATTTAAGACAGGATTTTGAGAAAAATAAAATGTATCATCAGTTCTTAGCCTTAGCGGCCGAATTTAGGGAGGCTGTCAGTGATGAGGCTTTACATAGCTTATTATAATTGTTAAGGAAGTAGATACGATTTACAGCTACGTTCAAGTGAGTGAGATTCGCGCATTCAAATACAATTATATTATGTAACAAATGAAATGGATTTACATTTATTTTTGTAAATTGTAATTTTTTTTAGCAAATTAAAGGACTTTATTGGGTTTTTTTTGTCAATAAGATAGGAGTTATTAGCTTTCTAAAGAAAATGATGGATTCTTTCAAAAAATATTTTCGTTGCTGTTTATTGTGGTTGTGTTGTTCAGCCAAGTCGTTGCCCGTGCTTTAGTAACAACATCAGCTACAACTAAAGAACTATTGATAACAACTGAAACAACACATGCAACAAAATCATTAACTACCAACAAGCCACCGTCTGCAGTAACAAAGGCATCTATAACTGTCACAAAATCAGCAACCACCACTCTATCGACTTCTAAGAAACTGCCTCTTTGGTCCTTCAACAGTGTGGATAGAGGGGGCCTGGCACCTGGGCAACGTCTCGCTATTCTCATCTTACCCCCCCCCCCAGCAATGCGCTTGGATTTTAAATACACAATAATCCAATGGTCTATAAGACTGTGGAGCCATATTTATTGTGATATGTTTACGGATTGCGGATTTTAAAATGCGAAGTGATCTAACGTATCATTTAACTTTATATTTTGTGTGGATTGTATTCAGTGATTTTACCATGCAAAGTAATGTAACTCATCTTTTATCAGTGTGTAATGGCTACGACGTGCACTATTTTTAAAATTTTATTGTAAAATAATGTATGGTGTCAAAGAACACACGTATAATATCGTTGTTTACTGCATTTCAATCTGTGGAACACTACAAATTGTTGGAACAAAAACAATGTATGTGATGAATTTTGAATTGTGTTTGTGTGTGTGTGTGAAGGTTGAGCAGTGTTCCTGCTTCTAAAGTTCTGTACTCCGGATGTTAACATTGTGAAATTATTTAGACTAACCTCGCATATTGAGTAATTATTGTATTTTATAGTAGTGTAGCAGCTTTTAATAAGAGCAAAATTCACTATTTGTTCTTTCCAAGGGTGTGGTCAATCCTTCTCTAAGTGACCCTTGTTTGATGTGCACATGTAGCAACGGAGAGTACAACTGTGAACAGATGTGTTGTCTACCTCCAGAGTGTGTGGACAGTGTACGAAAGCCGGGGATCTGCTGTCCAGTTTGTCCTAATGGTGAGTACAGCTTTACACAGAGAGTTTACAAGTTTACATTGGAAGACAAGTTTTTAAAATAGTTAATTACTTTGAGTACCCGCAACAATTAAATTATCAAACTATAAAAGCGTTTTAAAACAAAATGTAAAAACATTCGATCACCTTTACTTTTTTTTTAATTTCCAGGCCGAAACTGCATGATCGGTGGTTCCATAGTCCAAGACGGTCGTATTGTGGACGTCCCTGGGCTTGGTCAGTGTGGTTGTGGCCCCACAGCTGGGGACTCGGGACCGATATGTATTCCCACATCCCCCACTCCACTCACCACCACAACAACAAAAGCGACGACCACCACAACAACAGTCAAACCAACAACCTCAGTGAAGCCGACCACGCTAGCGCTTAACACTTGTGAAGTGAGTTGTATTTTTTAAACGTAACACCTTGAGACTAAACTAATTTTAAGTTAGTGATTCAGCTTAAAAATAGAAAGACTTGATTTATAATTAAGGAGCATTTGGCCTGACAAAAAGACTTTCATTGACACAAAAGTTAAACTAATGCGGCTATTGGTCATATCTGTCTTCCTGTATGGATGTGAGACATGGACCTTCAACGCAGACCTCTCCAATGGACATCTTACAAATATCGTATACATAATAAAGAAGCCTATGAAAAGATCACTAATGCAAATAGGCATGTCCCACGAACCAACAGTTTATCTAAAACCTTAATGCTATACACTGTATCAGTAGTGAGAAGAAGGGGAAGGCTAATACGTCGAGTGATTATTCGTGGGCTGCCCGTTTCAGGACTACTCAGAGCAGCATAGGATCGAGAAAGATCGCGGAAAATCATGAGAAAATGGAGTGTGTTTCAAATAACCACCCATCAATACGGACTAATGGATAATTTATAGATTGAAAATTTGGTATATGTTCATGCTCTAAAGCAACTTTTTATTATACACTTTATTGCATTAAACTGCATTTTTAATGAATTACAATTCAGGAGAGTATTTTTACAAGCTTTTATTTAACTTGCTTCCTCTGTCGTCAGTCTAGACCGAAACGCAGGAGTGAAAATTCGGAAACTTCTACTTGACCGATACGATTCACATTTGACACGTGGGTCAAGACATGAAGACAATGCAATCTGAAATTAAATTTGACTTAATAGGATGCCTAATTAATTTTTTATGAATTAATTAAAATTTGGACCGAATTAGTAGGCATGTCTATCCAACCACACCACACGCGTCATCACCTTCAATAGCTGTGCCATCACGTTCAATGGCTGCGTTCAAAAACCATTGCGCGCCTACTGAACGTGATGTTTAGTAGGCGCGCAATGGTTTTTAGTCATGTAACTCTATTGTAAATAAAACATGTAAAGTACTGACAAAAAAATTCATAAAAAACGTTTTAATAACAAGCTTTTATGTAATAATGCACTAAAAAGTAGAAAATAAATTATAGACTACTATTTAAATAACTAGAAAGAAAAGCGTGGGTGTCTTCCTAAACATTAGTGTAGGTATCCTGTAACGGACACCAATCTATCAGCCAGATAGATGGCGAACGCTCCCGGATTCGTTTAACTAATTACACACAGATGGCGATAAGCCTAAATAAAAGAAAGTTGACTCACTAGTTCGCTAGGACTTGTAATTAATGTCTAGGGGAAACACTAGAGAAACTACTGATGACAACAATACATTTAATCTGCATATAACTTGTAATAAGAGTACAAAGTCGTGGCAGAACACTAGATTTAAACAAGAATAAAATGGATTTACAGAATGAACAAAACCCAACTTACAATTCGTGGGAATAAATAGTATGATACACTATCACAGCTTTTAACACTTCAGAAAAATCACCACTGTATACATAACACTGGTATTAGCATAAAGAATTACTTAATCACAAGTAATATAACAACTTAATACTGCACGGCAACACACAGGGCTTATCTCTCTTCAACGACGTCTGACCAAAGACTGCCTCGAGACACCTGTGGGCGATCTATTTATAGACTTAGGTAACATGGAAGGTCACCTTCAAATCATAAGACCATTGGTTGGGGTGGTCATCTGGTCTGAAACAATCAATCATCTCTCGATGGAAAATTTCTGAGTCTAAGACTCTCTTAGTAAGACAGCGGAAAAAAACCGGTTATTGCACCACAGACCATATATGGTATTATAACAAATGTCAACCTAAAAATAAAACATTACTAGACCTAAGTAGGTCACAATCCAATAGATACTAAAGTGACCCACGCTTTTCTTTCTAGTTATTTAAATAGTAGTCTATAATTTATTTTCTACTTTTTAGTGCATTATTACATAAAAGCTTGTTATTAAAACGTTTTTTATGAATTTTTTTTTGTGCAATTTTATTAACATCGTCTTTGAACGCTTTTTTCTATACCTGTCTTTTTTTTTTAAATTCTTAGAGTCTAAATATTTGTGAAATAAATCATCTATACCAGAACACACACACCGACAGACATACAAACACATAAATACATAAATATATGCACTTACGTAAGTGTGCGTGTGTGTGTTTGTGTGTCGAAATGTATGTGTGTATCATCTTTCCCATTCTATGTTCCTATTTAACAAAGGGTATCGAGAACCCAGGCCTAGGTGAGCCATGCATGTATTGTTACTGTAACAGTGGTGAGTACGAGTGCTGGTACTCTGGATGTGAGCAGCCCAGGTGTGTTGACAGTCTCATCAAGCCAGGTGAATGCTGTCTGGAGTGTCCCAATGGTGAGTTTTCCTTCGATGTACCTGTTTTTGTGTTTGTGATTTAATCTTTTACCCTAAAACATCGAACCTATATTTAGTAGAAGATTTGATTGCTCATGCGATTTCTGACACATTTTACGCTCAAGTGTTTTACTCTTAGAAAGTTTTTTTTATTTTTTTTTATTTTTAATGCAAATTACAACACATTGTTTTTGGTCATACAATATTTGATGACTAAACGGAGTCTAGGAAGGCACTTATCGCACCTGCGGAAGTGTAACCGACAGCATATACCTTATGTATTACAACGATGTTGAGTTTCTAGCATAAACATATCTTAAATAGTGAAATGGCGGCACTATTACGACTACATTTGCTTTATCGAGCGCTCTACATTAGCTAAACAGTGAACTAGATTTGAAGTCTAAAAATAGCTGATAATAGGAACTGATATACCGTGCTGATATTTTAAACATCATGTTTAATAGTTGATTTTAAGTACATCGGATTTATTTGGATTTCTTCGTTTCCGAGAGCGCAGCATTGCTAGTAATCTGTAAATTTAATGGAAGATACATATCCACTCCACCTTGCAACCATTCTGTTGTCTTGTATTACCAGGCTGGAATTGTGCAATTGGAGGTCAGATCATACCGTATGGGAAGTCTGTGGTGATCCCCGGGTACGGGGAGTGCTCGTGTGTCACGAATGAGTACCTCGACAGTTTGTCAGCTGTGTGTGTGGTTGTCACTCCAGCTACAGCAACAACAACAAAGTCACCACCAACCACAACTACAACACCGAAACCCCAGAGCTGTGAAGTAAGTCGTAGTTAACAGTACAACATATTTTCGATTTATGATTTTCTTTGAAATAAAACTGATGAACATTTTACAGCACACTTGTCTATATATAAACTTTTATTTAAGCCTTAATTTGACTTGCTTCCTCCGTCTCTCGTCGGTCTGTCTGTTGTCATAGATCAAAACGGACGAGCGAAATTTCGGGAACTTCTAACTGACAACGTCGTTTCAAAGTTTGCAATATGTGAAGACAAAGCAATATGACATAAAGCTTTCTAAGTTCCTTACAAAAATACATTTAAAATAATTTAGACTTGTAATCTTAAGAAACTCGACACCTGATATTCGAATCTTCAATTTTCAGAAAAACTAAAAGCGTTTTCTTGTTCATTGAGAGGTTATTTTATATCTTAGGTATTAGGTAATAAGTATTTGGCTTAGAGATTATTTCTTTATAATTCTCACATAAAAAAGATCATTAAATTAGCCACATTGTAGTGATTTAAAGTCTAAAAATAACAAGATAAAAACGATTCGCACAGAATTGATAAGCCGCTATATTTTAATCAATTTTATATTAAATTATTTGTAATTATTTTTTGACTTGTTTGATTAAAAAACACTTTAATTAAGCGAAGGGGTCGTCCATAACTGACGTCACACTCGTAGGGGGGAGGGGGGTCCGTAATTTTGTGACGGTGTGTGATGACGGGAAGGGGAGGTTCAGATTGTGCGACGTCACACTTTTGAATTATAAAAAAGCAATGTTAGAAAACGAATTTTAAACGTTATTTTGCGTTTTAGAAAACTGTTTTAATAAATTATAATAACAATTGATTAAAATACTCTATTTTGACAGAGTTCAGACAAAATTTGGAGAAATATAGCTGTTTAAAAAAAATTCAACTGCAATTTTGAGGCGGGTTATAGGCTGAGGTGTGACGTCATTTTAGGGGGGGGGGTCTGGCTTTTTGTGACGACGTGTGACGGAGGGGAGGGGGAGGTAAAAATCGTCAAAAAAAGCGTGACGTCATTTATGGATGACCCCCAATATGTACATTTATTTAAACACAATCCCATGTATGTAGGCCTATATGTGACAACGAATTATTTGTTAACCCAAAATTATCTGTTTTATAAAGGCTGTGGAGAACCCATCATTGACAGACCCGTGTATGATTTGCGACTGTTACAACGGCCGGTACGAATGTGCCATAAATTGCTGTTTTCATGTCGAGTGTGTTGATAAAGTATACAAGCCTGGCGTCTGCTGTCCTGTTTGTCCCAACGGTGGGTGATGAAATATATCTGAAGTTGGTATTGCAGAAATCTCATTTACCGACTAAATAGACATGAAAAGCTGGTTCCAAATGGTTCCAAATTTTTGTTGCCAATAAGCACATTCTTCAACCAAAATTGAATATTTGATAACATTTGTGTAATAAGTACAAAAATTACTTCCGGTTTCATTTAGGCTAGAAGTAGTCAAAGAAATAATTACTATCAATATAGTATATAGTAATTTAGCAAACACTTTTATTTTTAATTTGGATTAGTAGAGTCAGGGTGTTGTGGTGATTGGGGATGCTATATTATTTAAGATAAACACAGTACTACTTTATACACCATAGGTCACTATTTTGTATTTTTATCATGGAAAACAATTGTTCTGACTTTTATTGTTTTACTCTCCCTGGCCATTACGGTTAACTTCAAGGAGAGGTTGAGGGCAGGTTTTGAATATATATAAATTGATAAAATAATTCTAGACTGCTTTTCAATGGCTTGTATTTGATACAAAAATATAAAAATGAGTGTAATCGATGGTTCCCAAACGGCTTTATTTTTTACAAATGTAACTATAATTATATCGCTTGCCACATTTTTAAGAAGATTTAAAAAAAATAAGATTGATTACATAGACTTTTCCTACATATTGTGTTTTTCAACAGCAATGCCTTTTATATTTAAATCTTACTATTAATTTGAACAGTATGTACTTTAATTATACAACTGTACGAAATTATTCCTTGTCTTTGTTGTTATCAGGTCGTAACTGCAGAATTGCCGGCTCTATAGTTCCAGATGGTGTTATGGTCGAGGTACCTGGTCGTGGAGTGTGTACCTGTGGTCCAGGTGGTCTGGGGGAGGAGCCACAGCCCGTGTGTTTTGGATAGTGTGAAAATCAACCTTGAATTGACCATAATTGTAATGCTGTAATCATGAACAGATAGAATTTCTAAAACCTTTTATCATCATTCTCCGTATTGTGTTACAGAAAAAGTGTTATTTTTCCTTTCAGAATTGTAATTTTTTTTTCTTGAACAAATAAATTTTCCAATATTATGTCATTTTTTAAATAATTATTTTTGATTAAATGCACAATACACAGACATTTTAAATCCCATACTTCATAATAAGCAGATAAATTGACATCCAATATATATTAACAGTTTAAAGAAAAATGTCTGGTCTGTTGAGGTACTATTGTGTTTAAATAAAGCAATAAAAAATATTTAAATGAATTTAAGTTGCTTTCTTGTTTGAATTGTTTTCAGGTTGTTTTGAAGACATGTTAAAATTCAAGTTGTGTTTTCTATGAACATTTAAGAAAAATTAGAACAGCATGCGCCCTCTGCTTGATATTGGATTGTAAATTTGCTACCATTAAGCGGTTCTCGGCGCCATTTGTAAAAAGTGGAATAGTTGCTAGTCATTTCAGTTTTCGAAATTGCATGTGTTAGATTCGATTCCATTTGTAAAAAAAAAATAGAAGTCTAGTATAAAATGGTGCGGGAGTTATCTCCCCTAAACATTCTTGTATATTACATTTCTGAAATACTAGGCATGCTGCCCAGCTTCGCTTAGGCTTTCGAAAACATTGAGAATTTGAATGCTTAATTAATTCGCCCATATAAGGCGCCGGTCAGTCGAGGTCAGTTTTGACCCCCTCGTCGTAGACTTTTCGGCCAACCGGCCCCCGTGTTCTGTCGCCCCAAGGCAAGATCCTGCCAAATTTGAAGCGCCTGTGGCGCCGGGAAGTGCCATATCGGGCACCCGACAACTTAGCTTTATATATTATAGAGATTAGCAAATTGCATAGATAAACAAAGATTTCAATAAAGTAATTAAAGCCTGAAATACTTTAGTATAGAAATTAATTATTTGAATAGATTCAAGATCTAGGTAGGGTCTACATCTGTGTAAGTCTAGTTTTTTTCTAGAATCTCTAGATCTAGATGATCTAGAATCTCTAGATCTAGATGATCTAGAACAGGGGTTCCCAACCTTTTTTTAACTCTAGAGCACATTCTAAAATCGACAAACTCCTTCCATAACTTGTCATTTTCCCATAATTTATTTTCTTATTTTCTTATAGTCATAATGTATTAATAAATAATAAACAAAAATGTTTTAAAATAATAACATTATTTGGCATTTTTTTCAAATTGCATACACACAGAGAAATGTATTTACAAAACGTAAATTGTGCAGTCTGACTCGCCGCTAGACAAGTTGGGACAAGTATCGAACATATTTAATAAACCTAGGCAGTAAAAAAAAATTAAAACTGTAACAAATTAATAAAAATAAATCTTATTTTAAAATAATGTTTATGAAAAAAATTCTGTCTCTGTCGAATAGTGAGAGGCAGGCACATACGAATCGTTCGGCGGGCGCCATGGCGCCTGCGGGCACAGGGTTGGGAACCCCTGATCTAGAATATCTAGATCAAGAATCTCTAGATCTAGAATCCAAATAGATAAAATAATTTTTTTAAGTTTAGGCCGAGAAAATCGTATTGCATACATTTCATAGCGTACATAGCTCTAAATCATATTTGAATGAAATAGTTCATTTCTTTTTATTCTAAACTCGGAAGATGACGTCATCAGTTTCTTTTTTTTTTTTTTTTTTGCCTCAGACACGTAATTTATAGCGTCAGTTGTGTGTTCGCTTTAGTATTACAGTTTTCATCATCGGCTTGTGAGGACTGATACAGATTTACAATAGTAATATTTCTTTCTTACTTGTAGCCTGCTTTCATTCATTAAAGATGGTTTACTTATACATAGATCTAATATAAAACGTCTAAATGTAAAGAAAAAATAAATATTAAAAACCAACCTGAAACTGAAAATGCAAATGAGTAATTAAATGATGATTCAAGGGATTTTTTTTTCTCGGCGTGCGTGGTGGGCTGAGGGGACGGGGAGGGGAGGGGGTTGGAATTTGGGTTTTTAAGTAGAGCTGAAAAAAAAATTGGGATTACCGAGAATTAAAATGATACAAATTTTAAGCAATCGGAAAAGTTATGTTATTACAATGAGACACATCAAAGCAAACATTCTTTCCTTTCAAACATCTATATCTGTACAGTCCTCAAACAGTTTTTTTTTTTTTTTTTTTTTTATTAATTCAATTGCTTTAAACATTTAAATCAGTAATAATAATATATTTGATAGATTTTACACAGCATCAAAGACATGAACAATGAACATATATTGCATATATAATAATCAAAGGGAGAAAATAAAATGGCATAAGAACTAGATTAAAATAAGGTGTGCAAACTAGGTTTCTCTTGACTGCTTAGTTTAGTGTGCTGCAGAGTCAAAAGTTCACATTGTAGCCACACATAGACAGAAATAGAAACAAAAAAACAAACCAAAAATGTGGGAGATTAGTTTCTTTTTTTTTTTTTTTCATTGACAATAACAAATGGCCCTAATCAATATGGTAGACTTGTAAAGGGAAATATTTTAGGGAACAATGAACAACTAGTTATTAATAACTAATAATGTACCAAAGTAGGGTGTATTGAGGTTAGCAAGGTAGTCTATGGGAGGAGGAATAACGTCACAATAAAGGTTTACTGTAGTAATAATTATGAAGGCCAATCACAGAAACAAGTGAACTCTACTTCACTTGCCCTATAGACCGTCAGGTTTGAAAGGGAACTTTACTTCTTCCATTTTAAACAGCTATATTTGCAGCAGTACTCATACAATTTTAAAATTCTTTTTGTTTTGTTTAATAAATTAATTTCAAAATTTTAAATATTTTAATTGGTTAACTTTTTTTTTTTTTTTTTTTTTTCTTGCTATTTTTTTTAGTGTAAACAATAAGCGACGTCATTGTTAAATGCGTTCTTGTCCCAAGTTTAAACACTTTTTCGGTTGCATAATTAAAATTGTTTTTCTACATTCGAATACGCCTTTATTTTTTATTTTTCTTCTTTAAATAAAATTGTGGTTATACATTTAAAACATCTAACATATTATTTTCAACAAAAGTCCGTATAAAGGTATCCATATATCGCTGCCGATTCTGACGTGATGTCCGGCGAAAATATTTTGCGGACAGACATAGAGAGAGAGAGAGAGAGAGAGAGAGAGAGAGAGAGAGAGAGAGAGAAGTGCGCACGGGGGCTTTTATATATTAGGATTAGGATAATAGAATCGCATAAAAAATAATAGCATTCCGAATACATGCTTATAGGGTGGAAATAATTAGTGCTTTATCAAGGAAATATTGATTAATTTTTTAAACACCTAATTTAACGTGTAAATGGGTCACATTTTTGTCACAGTGCATTGTCATCGAGTCTTGACATAAAAAGTTTTAAAGAAATCGGTCAGGCAGAAATGAATTGATTTGAGAAATAGGAAATAGCGTTAAGTACTACTTTAGGTCTATGAGACGGCACAGTCCAATGGTAGAGCTTTCCGTTGTTAGCCCTAAAATCTCTAATTCGGATTTCCCTTTGAAGGACGAACTTGAGTCCACCTAGCTCTGACGGGTACCTGACACGTGCAAAGTGCTAACCACATCATTACTTCGTATGCCAAATTCAACAAACATATCAACTTTACTTCATCTGCGCAATGGATCGCTAGGTCTAAAGAGGAATCAAATTCAGTTCAACTGAAATCACTCGAAATTTGAAAGATTCAAGATAATCCTATACCCTACTTATGTATACAATTTCGTCCATCTAATTTACACGGTGCTCTAGTTATTGGCTTTTGAGGAACCAGAAGAAGAGTAAGTACCACTTAGGATCAATGGAGATTTGATATAACACTTATATGTGATAGTTATGTACACAATCACACAGACAAAACTGCAAATCTAATTTTTTTTTTTAATCCAGTACGTTTTAAAACGTCAAAATTTGTCAAAATCTAGATTTTGATTTTTGGCACCGTTACAAAGCATCCTTTATATTCCTCATACGACTAGTGGAGAGGTGTGAAACTGAAAATTTAAATTTATGTATTCTTTGAACTCGAAAAAGTTAAAAAATAATTTAAAAAAATCATTTCCAAAACCCAAGTGTACTTGAACGACCATCCCCATTTCTGTTATATACGAGAATACGATGAATGCATAGGCGTTTTGTATTACAGTAGGATTTCCAAATATTGAGAATGGCTTTTTAGAATTGAATGTGAATGAAGCAGATTTTAAAATTTGAAAAAAAAAATTACGTTTATAGCAACGCTTGAATACAGTAAAGCTGGAAGAGCACTATGTATTCTGTTGGGTTACTGGTTCTTTAGCTTTTTCTCTTACTGATGGACGAGTGTTCTCTAGTTGCTTGTGAGTATAAATGTTTATTGTGAGTAGATTTTATGTGTCCCGACGGTGACAGTTTGTGTCGAAATGGTGAATTATCCCGGGTAGTGTAATAGAGCTGTGGGTAGTGGATTATTAAAGGTGGGTAGTGGAGTACTTGTGTTGTGTATTGAATACTGAAAGTATTTATTGTGAGTACTCATGTCTAAAACTTGCGATTCTCTGCAGTACAAAATATTGATTACACAGATGTGTCTAACATGCTAGCGTGACAAACTAGAAATCTTATGAGGGACAAACTAAGTTTATCTTTAGGGATGAAATACAGTTATGGGATTATAATATTGGGGCGTCTTAAAAGGTCATTTAAAAGACAAATACTAAAGAAATGTTCTTCAAACAACACAGATTAACTTTAATTGTTCTTTTGTGATTAAATATATTGTCTAAGAAATCATGTTTATATTAATGCTAAAACAACCTATTAGGGAATAAGAATACATTTCCTATTACAATCAATACATAATTTGTTATACCCCTTTTAGTATTTTTGACACAGACGTGATTACGGCGTTGTGACTGGGTAGTAGATCACAAGACTGCTAAAAAAAAGAATTGAGTTCAAAACTTTTCTCATGGTATTTTGTATTTTCGGAGGGGGGGGGGGGTGTGTTGCCGAAGAGGTGCCTGGAAAAAACTCTGCTTTGGTAGGTTTTTCTCGAGTTCGCCCAACTTTTACGGTATAATACCAAACTATCTCTTCAAATGTCACAGATAGGCTCTTCTTCCTCTGCAATATTTAACTACTTCCTGTTTATTTTGCACTTATTTTGCACTTAAATTGTCTGTAGGGTAGGGTAGGGGGGAGTGTGGCGAAACCTACGTCATACTTTCAGATTTGTGGGACTTCCCCAGCAGATGTTTAACGAAAATATATTCAAATGCTGCGGAAATTTTAAGACAGGATTTTCAGTAGAATAATATAATATAACATCAGTTATTTACCTCGAAGGCAAACTTTAGACAGCCTGTCAGTTACGAGGCTTTACACAAGATATTTTAATTATTAAATAAGTCGGTGCGATTGACAGCTGTGTTAAAGGTGAGTGAAATTCGCCCATTCACATCAAATTCTTTTAAGTAACAAATCGAAATAGATTAAAATACTTGCTTTTTGATAGCGATAGCATCTTTATATAAATGGAATGGACGTTGTTTTTTTTTTCATAAAGATAGTGGGTTTTGCGCTTTCTAAAGAAAATGATGGATTCTTTAAAAATATTTTCACTTGTAATTATTGTGATTGTGTTTTTCAGTCACGTTGTTATGGGTGCAACTACCACAAAACCGCCGACAACTTCTACAACAACTAAGCTGCCACCGACAACAACGCCAGATTATTGTGAAGTAAGTCACGAATTCAACACACACACACACATACAGACACTTATATATATATGTCGAAATGTGTGTGTATCATCAATCCCATTCTATGTCCCTGTTTATATCAGGGTATCGAGAACCCAGGACTAGGTGATCCATGCATGTATTGTTACTGTAACAGTGGTGAGTACGAGTGTTGGTACTCTGGATGTGAGCAGCCCAGGTGTGTTGACAGCATCACCAGGCCAGGTGTATGCTGCCCGGAGTGTCCCAATGGTGAGTGTTACTTCTACAGACTGTACTCACTCTCATGTTGCTACACGTCTTACTTGAGTGTTCAATGGACGTGTGTTCAGATTTTGTATCTCCATATCGGCCATTAAACTAATCTTTAGTCTGTCAAAGCGATAGTCGCTAATGGATTATCGGAAACATTTTATGGCCAAAGCTTTTGCTGAAGAAAGTTGTGTTATTATTGTATTTTACAGGGAATATTTAGCAAAAGTTACCCATTTTATGTTTCTCTGAGTGTTCGGATGTCGAAAAAGGTGGAGATTTACAATTATTTTTCATTCATCACTGTCAAGACGGATTCTTTAATTTTTTTGTTTGAATGCGAATCTCGATTTTCAATATATATATATATATATATATATATATATATATATATATATATATATATATATATATATATATATATATATATATATATATATATATGGTTCCATGACAAATGATCTCAGGACAAATGATCTCAGACAAAATATCTCAGACAAAATATCTCACGGACAAATGATCTCAGGACAAATGATCTCAGGACAAATGATCTCAAGGACAAATGATCTCACGGACAAAAGATACCAAGACAAAATATATCAGGACAAATGATATCATGGACAAATGATCTCAGACAAAATATCTCAGACAAAATATCTCACGGACAAATGATCTCAAGACAAATGATCTCAGGACAAAAGATCTCAAGGACAAATGATCTCACGGACAAAAGATACCAGGACAAAATATATCAGGACAAATGATATCATGGACAAATGATCTCAGACAAAATATCTCAGACAAATATATATATATATATATATATATACATATATATATATATATATATATATATATATATATATATATATATATATATATATACATATACGTACATATATATATATATATATATATATATATATATATATATATATATATATATATATATATATATATATATATATATATATATATACATATAAAGAACTTTTCTCTTATCCTTGTCACGCCCCCCATTCTGTTGTCTTGTATTATCAGGCTGGAATTGTGCAATTGGAGGTCAGATCATACCGTATGGGAAGTCTGTGGTGATCCTCGGGTACGGAGAGTGCACGTGTGTCACGGATGAGTACCTCGACAGTTTGTCAGCTGTGTGTGTGGTTGTCACTCCACCTACAGTAACAACAACAAAGTCTCCGCCAACAACAACACCAAAGCCCAACAACTGTGAGGTAAGTCGCAGCTAACAGTGTAACAAAAGTTCCATTTCTGATTTCTTTAAAATAAAAGTGACGCACAATTTACAACAATCTTTTGTGTTGTTGTGTGATGTATGTTGTTGTCAGTATCTGATCTCAATCGTCAAGTTGTTAACATATTGTTTAGATATTTTCCGGACTTGAAAAATTCTCTCTGAATATTTGTTACTTTTTATTACAATTTTAGTAACTTTTTGTTTTTTAAATTATAAAAAGTATTATATTTTTCCACAAACTTCAATAAAATTATCGTGCTGAATTGTCTTGTTATTTTTGAAATATTATTTTGAAATCATTAACCAACTACAGCTCTCCACTTCTCTGTTCTTCTGTAGTATGGGCCGCCAACTACAGCTCTCCAGAGTTCTCTCTCCTACTGTCTCTTGATTATATTACAAACTATAAACACATTTTTGCTTTATTTCTTAAACAAATAATATATCTTACATAAATACGTATTTTAAAATTCTACACATACGCAAAAGATATGCTCTCCTGACTCTGACAAATAAATATATAAATATAAAATAAAACATTGTGTCGATTTTAGCAGTATACAGGGGAGCCGAAAGTTTTCCCGAAATACACTTGCCCGAAGCCGATTGCCGTCTCTCTTAATTTTAACTCGCTATTCGCCATTCTCATGGCCTCTCATATGTCAAGCCTGTCACTTTCTGATGTTGTTTTTTTACATTTCTTTTCGAGACTGCCTCTTTTTCGTTTGCCTCGTACTGCAGATTTTTAAAAAGTTCAGGCTAGACCTTACAGCCTATTGACCACTGTAGTTTACACACCTACCCTACTGCTACTCTAGTACACTGCCTTACTCTACTACAGGGTCTAGATGAGCCGTTGTTAACACTGCCTTACTCTACTACAGGGTCTAAATTAGCCGTTGTTAACACTACCTTACTCTACTACAGGGTCTAGATGAGCCGTTGTTAACACTGCCTTACTCTACTACAGTGTCTAGATGAGCCGTTGTTAACACTGCCTTACTCTACTACAGGGTCTAAATTAGCCGTTGTTAACACTGCCTTACTCTACTACAGGGTCTAGATGAGCCGTTGTTAACACTGCCTTACTCTACTCTAGGGTCTAGATGAGCCGTTGTTAACACTGCCTTACTCTACTCTAGGGTCTAGATGAGCCGTTGTTAACACTGCCTTACTCTACTACAGGGTCTAGATGAGCCGTTGTTAACACTGCCTTACTCTACTCTAGGGTCTAGATGAGCCGTTGTTAACACTGCCTTACTCTACTACAGGGTCTAGATGAGCCGTTGTTAACACTGCCTTACACAAATACAAGACGTCTTTCCCTCACAAAAACATACCCTGTAATTCGTATTGTTCCATTTACGCACATAAACGTATACTAATGTTAAGGTACTAAAAGTATCTCACTTTAAGATTTTTATAGCACCAGTTAGCATGCTTTAGAAGAGAGTTGAGCTCACACTTAGAATGTTTGAAACTCTGAATGTACTCACACAGATAAACGTCATGTGTGTATCTCCAGGGTGTGGTCAACCCATCACTGACAGATCCTTGCTTGCATTGCACGTGTAACGATGGACAGTTCGAGTGTGTCGAGAACTGTTGTCCGCCAGTCGAGTGTGTTGACAGCATCACAAAACCTGGTGTCTGCTGTCCTGTCTGTCCTAACGGTCAGTACAAAGACATCAAAGAACTAAACAGATATACTATATTTACAAATTATTTTTGTTTGAAAAACGCGTGATTGTAAAGTGGTTAAATGTGGAAAAAACGTCAAAATGTTTTTAGAATACTACGATTGTAAATATTTGAGTTTAAATAAGGTGCGTGGTACAGATTTAAAAAGTTAACGTTGAGAAGGGCGAAAAATAAAGATTTATAGCGTGAATATTTCCTTGACAGGTCCTAACTGCATGATTGGTGGTTCTATAGTATCAGCTGGTCTTATGGTGGAGGTTCCTGGGGTTGGGCTGTGTCGTTGTGGTCCCACTGATGGGGCCTGGGGACCCCAGCCGATTTGTATTCCCACAACCCCCACTCCACCCACCACCACAACAACAAAAGCGACGACCACCACAACGACAGTCAAACCAACAACGACAGTCAAGCCGACCACGCCAGCCCCCAAAACGTGTGAGGTAGGAGCTACAACATACATCGTTATAAGTATTAATTATCTGCCAGTTTAATACTCATTCAAAAAAACCAATTCAATATTTGATTCCCTTTATTTCTACAAAGGGTGTTGTCAACCCCTCTTTGACTGACCCCTGTAAGCATTGCACGTGCAATGATGGACAGTACGAATGCCTAGAGAGCTGTTGTCCTGCAATAGACTGTGTTGATGGCATCACCAAGCCTGGCGCCTGCTGTGAGTTTTGTCCAAATGGTAGGTGAAGAGAGAGATTCACAGAAATTAGTTGAAAAGTGCATTATATATTACTTTAAACAAACCATTTTTTTAGCAGCAGCTGGCCTAATATTCTTGGTAATTTAACAACTCTACTTTTTTAATTGAAACTATTTTCATTTATAGCAATATTGTCCATTCATATGTTCTCGTCTGCTAACCTAAAAGATGGGATGTCGATCCGGATTTGAGCACTAGCGACTCACACCCCTGTTCCATCCAATGGTTACCTCACTCACGTTAGGGAAAGTAAAATCTGCCGGGTATCTGGTGAACTCATTACTTCGTAAGCAGTGTTTCTTCCAGACTTTTTTCTCCAGGGGGGCACTTGAAATTTTCGGGGGGGGGGGGGCGGTAAACTTTCTTCGGGGGGGGGGGGGGGCGGACACTGTTAAAAGTATATATTTTCTATATAAATTATATAAATTTCATTCCGTTCGGGGGGGGGGGGGGGGCGGTAAAAAAATTTCGGGGGGGGGGGGGGGGGGCTTCGCCTCCCCGAAGAGATGCCTGGAAGAAACTCTGTTCGTAAGACGAGTTCCAGAAACATATGAGCTCTGATCTGCCCTCTGGATAGTAAAGTCCGAACGAGAAACTTGACTAGGATAAAAATATTAAAAGCGTCAAACATTATGTTTATTTAGCCAACAATAATGTACAACTAGCTTTCTTTCTGTAGGTCCCAACTGTTGGATCAATGGATCAATCGTATCAGCTGATCGAGTGATTGACATTCCAGGTCAGGTCATCTGTTTTTGTTTCTTCAGAAACTCGAGACCAGAGTCCGTGTGTTATGACTATCCCAAATAAGCTGTTAGTACAACTCATATGTTTTGTTTATCCTCGCATAAAAGACGAATTAAAAACAACATGTAAAAATTTTAGACTGAAAAACCTATTGAAATGTATTTCCCTGCATCTTTAATGTGTTTACCTTCAACTTGTATTGTTTTAAATTAACCTTTATCGCGTTTCTTTGCTTTCCTTGATTGTTGATAGTTCTCATACGGATTTCACATTATTTGAATGGAGGGAGCGGACCGCACCGGGTGACACCATTTAGGGGGGTGACACCAAGGCAAAAAATAGCAAAATATATAGAGAAAAACTTGAGGGGGTGCAAATCGAAAGTTTGAGGGGGGGGGTGCAAATCGAAAACTTGAAAGTTTGTCCCCGGGAAGGGTCACTACGCCTCTGGGGTGTGACACCATTAAGTGCCGCACCGGGTAACACCCGAACTCGCTACGCCACTGGGACGACTCTAACTGTTCTTCATCAAACTTGTTTGTTTTTATCTGATAAGGTTAATTACTAAGAAAGTTTTAAACAAATAAAATACATAGTTGTTTAACGGTTGTGGTATTAATAAAATATAGAGTCTTTAGTTGTTAAAGTTATATACTGAAATTGATTGATAGAAATAAAGCACATTGTCTACATTTCTGCATTTAATTTTTCATTTGATCAAGTGTCATACATATAAAAGTGAAATGAAGTATGTGTGTTGTTTAGTATGGCATTTAGTTAAACAAAATTAAAGTTTTGATATAGCAAAACTCGATACTTGTTTGTGTGGTTATTAAATTTTCAACACCTACAGTTGAACGATGGAAGCGAGGAAAAATACGCCCGGAGATTAGAAGAGATAAAGAGATATGACAGACAAGGAGGGGAAGGCTAGAATATTGTACCAAGGACTTGAGTGTTTGAGGGGATGAAATCAGAAGAGAATCAAATGAGATTAAAGTCAAATACGCAGCGAAGCAGCAGTTTGTGGAATAGTGACATTGAAGACCTGTTGGTTTTGTACTATTCTTGTGTGGAACTTTGAGTTTCATTGAGATTTGATAAGTGAATGAATAGAACCTACGTTCATTAATTGAACAACTAGATTCAAATACGTGTGACCTTCCGAAAATTCGATTACTGGACGCGGGTAAATCACACACGACAAAAATATCACACTCTCACATATAATTAAAATAACGAAAAAGCACTTCTACCAGTAATACAACCAACGAAGTTACCGATCTGTATAAAACATTCGGTTATTCGTTATATATACGTAGTTACATGTTCAAACATAATCAAATATCAGAGTATCGCCATGATATCCTGCACATCCACGCAGTCTAAATCAACTTTAAAAAGAACTTTCAGCTAAAATCAAGCTGAATTTTTAAAGTTTGTATAACATATTTTAATCGTTATTTTGTTTAACCTTGCTGATGTAACCTGTTATTTCTATTATATGTCTAGTATTGTAAAGTTCTGACCACAAACCTGTTGTTTTTAGTATTTGTCTAGTACTTTAAAGTTCTGACCACTATGTAAAAAAGCATATCAAGAATCATCTACCCAGAGTTTCTTCCAGACAATTTTCTCCGTGTAGGGGGGGGGGGGGCACTTGGAATTTTTTTTTTGGGGGGGGGGGGGGCGGACTAAAACAATTTCCCTGGAGGGGAGGGGCACTGTCAAAAGTATACATTTCGTTCGGGGGATGGGGGTTGTAGAATTTCTCGAAGAGATGCCTGGAAGAAACTCTGCTTCGACCCTTTATTATACTTAGACGTCTCTTTTATTTACACTTCATTTTACTAAGGGAAGAAATCTATTTTGTCTGTGTAAAAATAAAATTAATTCCTGAGTGTAACGTAAACAAGTTTATTGGTGCAAGTATAATACTAGTTTTGGACTTGAGGTTAGTTTGAAGAATGTAAATGTGTGTCGAGGGGGAAGGCCACGCCTCAGTTTACCCAACTGCTATCAACTTTACATGTAATTTACAAAATCCCTATCAATTTTGTCTCTAACACAACCAACTTGACTTTGCTGGTAGCGTACAGAGGGATTACATGAAAATTTCGTGGGTTGTTCCTTGACTTTGCTGGTAGAGTACAAAGCATTACGTTTGATATCAACTTCGATACCAGATGATAATGCCATCGTCTGAAGAATACATTACTGGATGGTTACGAAGTTTTTTCCTACCCCATATGTTACTGCGCCCATGTTACATTATATTCCGGAGGTTAGAACTCGGGAATTTCCGGAGTTTAGAACTCGGGAATTTCCGGAGTTTAGAACTCGGGAATTTCCGGAGTTTAGAACTCGGGAATTTCCGGTTAGCAACTATATTAATAATAATATAGTAAAAAAAATATTTGATTGCTTATACCACGCATAGTTTTACTTTTTAAACCTTTGATTAGACAATTATTAAATAAAATGTGTGTGCAAATTCCCCGCCCCTACAAACTCTCATCACTTTAATTAAAGTTTCCTCTATGCTTTGGTTTCTTTCTGAGTACATATTAAGAACGTTTATTTGTTATTTGCATTTATTGCCAAAAGTACCAACTTCGTGCATTTAGAATATAACTCTTATCGAATTATTCGAAATAATTCACCCATTTAAAAATAACCCAAACAACGAAAATACACATAATGGAAATACATAAACACTTTAAATTCACACAATATGTTTATTATTTTTTTTTACAAGTGGTATTTGATGTGATTACATCGTAAACATAATTTCATTTTAGAAATGTAATGCATATCATAGCATTCGCTGAAAAAATATAAATCCTATTTGTGTTCTACAGTTAGATGTTAGAGGCAGGTGTTGTGTAGTTTAAAGATGTAGCGGTCTGCCCTGGGCCAGTTCTTGACATCTCTGGCGGTACGTGCAGCTGCCGTTTAAGCTGCAGTGGTGGTGGCGTCGGGATATTCAATCGGTGCCTGCGTCGTATAGTACCATGGGACGTCGTGTGCTAGGGTGGACGTGGGGGGTTGGGGTGGGTAAGATGGCCGGATGGACGTCGGGGGTTGGGGTGGAGTCCAATCTGTTGTAATCAACATTAGGAAACATTTGTATGTTGTTCTTTTTTTTCGATAAAATATAAGACAGTAAATACTGATTTCAACAGCTCTATTCTTAAAAATGTGATTCTCATCACTAAACTCTAAAAATCCGAACGTTTATTTAGCACCAAATATGCGTCTTCATTATTTGCAAGGGTGGTGCTTCCTAGAAAACGTATGTGATGTGTGATATAGTTTATGTGAATGGTATATGGGGCAAGTCTGGGTCCTAGTTTCGTGTTATTAAACCTGAGCAAGAAAAAACTAAACTACAAGATGCATTGACCCGTGTATACCAAAACATCTTTTAATACGAATGTTAGCATTCGATCTTCATCAGTAAAAAAAAAAAATTAATTTTCTACGTTGTACCTAAGTTAAAAACCTTTTAAAAGAGTATAAACATTGAAATTAAACATGGGTAATGCATTTTTCAGAACAGCTAAGAAATTTCGACATTTTTCATTTGGGTCAGAAGTAACTGTCCCTTTTCGTCTTTATTTAATACAAAACGTTTTTTTTCTGGTAAAACTGTGGTAACACCTGTAAACTCACCGTTAGGACAATCAGGGCAACACGCTCCTGGTCTCTTGTAGTTGTCAACACACCTAGAAGGGCATCCTGCTATGTAACACACGTACCGCCCTTCAGAGCAGAAGCAATATTGGCAGGGGTCTCCTGCCCCCGGGTTGGTCAGGTTCTACAAGTAGATAAACAATGTTGGTAAGGTGTTCATGGCGTTAGATCAGAGGCGTAGCGAAGGGGGGGGGGGGGAGGACGGACCGCACCGAGTGACATCAAAGAAGGTGTGACACCAAGGCAAAAAAATAGCAAAATATATAGAGAAAAATGATAATTCCACTTAATTAAGTGATTAATTCGATTGTTAAATAGTGTTTTAAGAGGTGCAAATCGAAAGTTTGAGTGGGGGGATGCAAATCGAAAGTTTGAGGGGGGGAAGGGGTGCAAATCGAAAATAGAAAGTTTGTCCCCGGGAAGGGTTGCTACGCCTCTGGGGGGGGGGTGACACCATTAAGTGCCGCACCGGGTGACACCCGACCTCGCTACGCCACTGCGTTAGATCTAATGTGAACTGATATCAGTAAGTTAAGAGAGGCTGAGCTGATGTTTATCAGGAAACTGAAATGTTGAGATGCTGTTTTTTTGTAAACAATGGCCTATCTTGCTAAGTATTTACCTCACAATTCGCAGGCGTAGAGGGCGGCATTGGCGGGGTTGAGGGCGGCATTGGTGGCGTTGTAAGTGGAGTTGTCGGTGGCGTGGGTGGTATACACACAGCTAACAATCGGTTTTCTTGTTCGTTCATGAAGCAATAACACTCACCCACACCCTCAACATAAACTTGGCTACCGTAGGGGATAATTCTCCCCTCTACAGCGCAGTTTCTACCTACAATGTGAAACATTCATTTTCAAATAGTGTTCTCTAAATGGCATTTATTTATCCCGTTTGCCAAAAAATAATTCTCTTTGTGTGAAAGGGCATCGCGCCCCAAAGTGTAATTACTTATTGTTCATGTCTGTAACAGTGTGAGCTGTTCTAGAACTCAGGTACTGACCGTTAGGACATGTCGTGCAGCATTCCCCTGGTTTGGTGTAGCCGTCTACACACTGGGTAGGTGCACAGTCGATGTAGTAGCACATTTTCTCGTTGTTCATACACATGCATTTGAAGCAAGGGTCGGAATTGCCCTGGTTTTCCTGAGAGAAATAGAAATCCAGCATATTAGTGTGGTTTATTTTATTTCGAGGTGGACTGCGTGGTCGAATGGTAGTGCTTACGGCTGCTAACTCTCGAGTTCGGATCCCGGCTAGAGACTGTGAAAAATCCCTGAGAACACCCAGCTCTGATGGGTACCTGGCTCACGCTAGGAAACATAGGCAGCTGGAATTAATGGAGACTATCCCCTCGTGTGCCAATGTTATTGAAACACATTAACTCTACTTCATCTGCCTCATGTGTCTTGGGCACGAACGAGAAAAAATGATGTGAGCCGGGTATCCCATCTGAGTTGAGTAGACTCAGAGACGACCTACAAACCTTAGGCTGAGATGTAAACTCGCAACTTTCGGGTTAACAATCGTAAGCTCTAACATCCAAGCACGTCGGAGAGTAAAAATCTTATGAGAGTGTTTGCTTTTCCCAGTTTGTCTTATACGATCTTATATCGGTGTTCCTATGTCACAAGCAAAGTATAGTCAACCTAGTTTGTACTACCATTTGGCGGGTGTGTGCCTTTAAAGCGCAATAAGAATCTCTAACGTTTAACCTTTTCCTACCAGTTTCACTATTTTTACAAGTTAGTATTTATATGATTTCTAATTCTTTTTACATTCGTCCTACATGCAACCGGCTTGCGAAATTTGGACCACTTCCGCCGAAACGTTGAAAAATGGATTATGACGTAAAATTTGACTTATATAAAAGAATAATTGATTTTTTAAAGTTAATAACAGATTATTAATCGTTTATTGTACGCTTTCGTTTGGTGAGCAATTCTATTTAGCTTAAAGTATTAAGAATATCTGCTACAAATAAAGTGGAAGTTATCTTAACTAAACGTTCTTGATATTCTTTCATACACCACGGTGGATATAGTCGTGCTTTTTAATCAAATTTTACATTCTTAAACTTTTTAAAATAGAATAGAATCTCGTAGAAAAAAAGATTTTTTTTGAGAAATCGGAAATAGTGTAAAGTGCTACTCAAAGTTTGACAGAAAACAAATAATTAGAAATGTTACTACTATGGGAAACTTCGACAATCAGAAACAGTGCTCACGTTATAGGCCTTTGAAAAACCGAAAGTAGAATAAGTTACACTTCCGGTTACCGGAAATCGCTGAAAAGTTGATGCAGAACTACAAATTTTATAAAATAATTTTATACGAAATTTAATCTACCTAGCGGTAAAGGTATTCAAGTTATCTTGTTTACACACACACACACACACACATACACACACAAACACACACACACACAAACACAGACGTACGCACACATTTGCAAAACTGAGTTTTTCCGACCAAGAGAGGTTTGAAAACGTCGAGGTTTGTGAAAATCTCGATTCCTATATTTTAAACTATTACTGTATTTCCTTTATACGTCGTATATGATAAAGTTAAAATTAAGAAAAAACAATGTTTTAATACAAGTTTTATATAAATATGGACCAAGCAAGAAGAAAATAAGTTAGTTTCTTCCAGTGGCGTAGCGAGGGGGGGCGGGGGTGCGGACCGCACCGGGTGACACTATTTAGGGGGGGGGGTGACATCAAGGCAAAAATAGCAAAATATATAGAGAAAAATGATAATTCCACTTAATTAAGTGATTAATTCGAGCGAGTGTTAAATAGTGTTTTAAGAGGTGCAAATCGAAAGTTTGACAGGGGGAGGGGGGTGCAAATCGAAAGTTTAAGAGGGGTGCAAATCGAAAATTGAAAGTTTGTTTGTCCTCGGGAAGGGTCGCTACGCCTCTGGGGGGTGACACCATTAAGTGCCGCACCGGGTGACACCCTTCCTCGCTACGACACTGGTTTCTTCAAATATATAATAATGAACCTCTATTTAAATAACTAAACAGACAAGAGTAAGTAGCTTCTTAATATTTACTAAAGGTATTCAATGAATATATATATTTAGTAGTTTATAATATTAAAAACGAATTACGTCACAAATCTCCGGTGTTGTCATGGGTGTGGTGGTGACCGAAATACAATCAGCGCGCATGCCATAACCTTGGTCAAAGACGCAATGACACTCGGCAACGCCCTCAATCAAGAAGGTCTCATTAGCAGGGACCGTCACTCCGTTTATTTCACAGTTGTTGCCTGGAGATATTATAGGAGATAAATCACAAACGATGTACATTAGTATTCATTTCTTGTTAGAAGCATCTTTGTGATTGAATTATGATATCAAAGTACTCACCATTAGGACAAACAGGACAACAGACTCCCGGCATACTCACACTATCAACACACATAGGCGCTGGGCAACCAGCCATTGCACATTGGTATTCGCCTTCAAAGCACCAGCAGTGCATGCACGGGTCTCCATTGGCTGGATTAGCTAGACCCTATTATATATATATATATATATATATATATATATATATATATATATATATATATATATATATATATATATATATATATATATAATTGATTGGACTATTTGAAGAAAAAAACATTTCATGCAAATTACATTGCTCACCTCGCAATTAGTTCGTTTTGTTGTTGTAGGTGGGGCGATCGTCGTTGTTGGTGATTTTGTCGTTGGTGGTTTTCTTGTGGTAGTTGTTTTCGTCGTTCGTGGCGCTTTCGTGGTAGTTGTTTTCGTCGTTCGTGGCGCTTTCGTGGTAGTTGTTTTTGTCGTTCGTGGCGCTTTTGTTGTTGTAGTTTTTTTGCTAGGCAACACAGCAGCCATCGTGTAGACAAACAGCGCGGCAAGCAGGAAAAACGTGAAGACTCTCACAGATCCCATGATAGTTAAATGTCGATGAAATAACCGAAAACAGACCGTTGAAACCCTTTTTATACCATTCAGCTGTGAGAGCTTAAATATAAACAAAGATTATAAATGGTAAAATGAGACTTCCTAGTACATTCTAATTTTGGCTACAGCAGATTCCGTTAATCTCTAAGCTTTCAACTTTCAAAACATGTCACACTTTTGTCATTGTTGCGAGTTTTGTGAATCTTAATGCAGCTGTCACCAGTGGTTTTTCCCTGATAATTATAACCAATCGCCAACGGTTATCGATATTTTGCTCTCTGATCCATTTGTTTCGTTTTAGATTTTGTCAGGCCACCGAAAATGTGCGAGGGAATAGTCGGATTATCTGACGCATACTTTCTAACCTCTATCACGGTCGTATGGAAATAATTGTCTCGTTCAAGGGATTGTCTAACAACGACGTACTTGGGTGAAAGGGAGTGGAGTGGAGTGAAAATATGCAAACTGCAAAAGTATATTGTCACACTTTTTGTACACCCCCCCCTCCAATCCCTTTCTCACAGGTACGTTGTTGATAGATAATCCCTTGAACAAGACAATTATTTTGTTTTTTTCAGACCTGAAAAAAATTAATTAAAATAAATAATGTAAATGTCGACTTAGCTGTGTCATTTATTTTATAATCTATTAAAAATAAATCTCTAAAAAAAACATGAAAATGTCACTTCCGAAGGAGGGGTGGGGTAATCTTATATTTGACGTTATTTCAGTGTGTGGGAGGCGGATGTGACATTTGAATTTAGAATCATATTTTTGTTGTGTTGGAAATTGCAGTGGGCAGTGTGATAGCAGAACTGTGATAACGAAGCGGGTTCTATTGTTTCTAACACGTATGTGCTTCTATGTAACTCCTGATTTGCTGATCTGGCTGTCAGGATAACCAAATTCCTTCACATTATTCCCATCTCTTCCGTCTATTGGTAATCGAGTCTCTTGGGTTTTTGTAGGACATTCTTTCTTCAACCTTCTGCCATGTTTTACCCGTGATCCAGACCTTTTTATGGGCGCCTTTCTTCGCAGATGTCAATAGTGGTTTAGTGAAATATTGTCCATGAGTTCTGGGCTGCATAAAAATCTTCTTCGGTCCGGTTTTATAGGATGATCTGAAACTTTTTTATTTTATCTTTTGACTGGAGTTTACTTACATCAAACCTTTTTACTTTCTCGTATAGAGAAAATATTGTAAGCTTGCCAAAAAAAAAATCACATGAAATTTTAGTTTTTAAACGTTTTACAGGTCAGTACTTTATTGAATACGGAGTATAGAGGACTTATTTTAATCGGGCGAAAATTCTTAATCCAGATTTATCCAAAATCTTAGCATTTTACGAGTCATCGAGTTGGAAAAACTGGGCTTTACAATTTTGTTTGTGTGTGTATGTGTGTCTGTAAATACAATAACTTGAGTACTGTTACTGATGACATTTTTACATATAATTACTACACTACATCAAATGTGTAGTTCTTTGTCAAATCTTCAGCGATTTCCGGTAACTAAAAGTGGAATTTTTTTCTACTTTTGGTTTTTCAAAAGCCTATAACTTGAGTACAGTTTTCGATGGGTAGATGAAATTTTAAATGTAAGTAAAAGATCTAATTTTCTGTTTTCTGTTACGTTTTGTGCGTTTTCCGGTAACCGGAAGTAGTACTTTACACTATTTTTGATTTCTCAAAAAATTTATAAAGTACTAATGTTTCGCACTATTAAACATACTTTGTTTGCTGTTCCCTTGGTGCGCAATTCTTTTTCTACGATATTCTATTCTATTTTAAAAAGTTTAAGTTTTTAAAAATTGATTAAAAATCATGTCTATATCCCGAGTTGCCTTCCCGAGTGTTTTATGTAGCAATATTCATGAACGTTTAGAGGTGATTACTCCCGCTATTTCGTGTATAATTCTGTTGTCAGTTCTTTGCTGTGAGTTTTCAATTCACTTCAATTCAGCAATAACAAAGGTCGTGATCAGATCCTGTGTGCGCTCCTTGTATGCTAGCACATCCTGAAGTGAGGTCGTCCAACCACGTCGTATAGCGACAAGATCAATGTGCTCGCGTGCCTAACTCTCAATCCCAACACATTCCTGTACGGGATTTAAAAAAAAAAACAACGACTTATCTCTAAAGGACAGGGCCTCTTGATCCATACATTTTTTGTTCCACCACAATCTATAACCGAATTTGTAAAATTATATGAACAGCTGTTCCTAATTTGTCGATAGTGGCTTCTATAGGGTGTTGTCAACAAATAGCAGTAAAAGTGTAATTTGATCGTAGTTTCAGTTACATGCATTGAAATGTCTTTCTTGTCTGAAGGCTGCTGTAAGTCGATATTTTATAAAATTGGAGAATTGCTTTAATGTCTGAAAAAACAACTGTTAATGTTTATATTTTTCTCTACCTGGATTTGAACCATGTAAAGGTAAATTGATGTTATAATAGTAACGCTAGAACTCTACATCATAAAAATGGGATTTTGGAGTTAAAAAGAACACATTAAGTTTGATTTGTAGTTAATGGATCGTCGTTTGGTTACCAAAAAGTGAAGAAATCAGTTCTCAGACACATCTACTTGGGGAACTTAGTTTTTCACGGAGTTGATACGTCCCGTGTGTGTACTTTAGATCGTCGGGCGTTTGGTGCAAATGCTGAGGGCAAGGCAACGGATGAACTCTGCTCCATCTCTCTGATTTATGTAGGCAGGAAAAAGTTTCAAAACCCGATTCACGATAAATGGTATGTAGTTAAATAAATACATTATACAGCACCAAAAAAAAATCAGCATAAACCAAATGTATGGGCACATAATTTCGAGTATGTTGGAGTTTTATTTTCAAAAAACATTTTAATAATTTTCATGGACAAAGCATTTTTGAAATTCTTGAAATAATTTAGCTGCCTGAAATAAAATAAATTGAAGATGAATTCAAATCTATTCTTCCTATTTTAATTCAAATATCAAGTCGCAACTTTGACAAATCTTGAAATCAATTGTTAAGTCACGCTGTCAAAGGTTTATGTAAAAGATAGGCTTATCTCCCTTTAGTCTGAAATTCAATAACTTTTTGAAATGTATTTATCGACTACAAGAACAGTATATAAGGTGAGCTGGGGATTGTAGTTTCATCTTTCGTGGCCAGCGTCTACCTCTACCACGTAGAAAAAATACACAATGTTTACGGCACGGCGCCTTAACTTGGGTCTAATTGTGTGTGTCTTGTTCATCTACACCTTGACCAGTGTCCAGTCGGCGCCAGCGAAAAAAAAATCGGCACCCACGACAAAAGCACCATCAAAGAAAGCACCACCGACTACGAAAGCACCGAAGACCACAAAGCCACCACCTACCCCAAAGCCGCCCAAGACGAGGAAACTACCCAAGGCAACGAAACCGCCTCAGCCAACACCACCACCTACAACCACTGCACCACTACCTGACTGTAAGGTAGGTTTTAAGTCAGTTGCTTGGAGTTATTTGTAAGGTAAGTTTTAAGTCAGTTGCTTGGAGTTATTTGTAAGGTAGGTTTTAAGTCAGTTGCTTGGAGTTATTTGTAAGGTAAGTTTTAAGTCAGTTGCTTGGAGTTATTTGTAAGGTAGGTTTTAAGTCAGTTGCTTGGAGTTATTTGTAAGGTAGGTTTTATGTCAGTTGAATGTAGGTAATTGTAAGGTAGGTTTTAAGTCAGTTGTTTGGAGTTATTTGTAAGGTAGGTTTTATGTCAGTTGAATGTAGGTAATTGTAAGGTAGGTTTTAAGTCAGTTGCTTGGAGTTATTTGTAAGGTAAGTTTAGGTGTGCTCAGAAATATGTTGCATTGGTGACTTATGTCAGATTGTTTATGTCAGATTATGCAGATAATCATCAATTAGGTTTATGTGTGTTGTGGGAACATAACTGTAGTACATACGTACCCAAACAAATGGGCTAGAATTTGCTTTTTGCTATCGCCATCTTTTCTTAAGAATTGAATACAAAAATTGTAAATGAATATTTAGTCAATATTTTATGCTTAACCTCTTGAAAACGAAACCTGATATCTGTTTACCTAGGATATCGTCTGTCTGGCTGTTACCTGCGCTAACCCTGTCCTGAATGTAGGCGAATGCTGCCCGACCTGTCCAGGTAAGCTTCCTGTCACTTGGGTGTTATCCTCTCTACCTGTACTGTTAAACAGTGCGGTACCACCACTTATGTGGCGTGTTCTTCTTGTCGTAATTAGCGCACGCACACCTCACCGCTTCATGAGCTGCACAGACGTAAGAACATTGTGCAGCCCAACTCAGTGTAGAGCTAGCAAACAGGAATATCTTTGTATACCGGCGGGTCGTGTCTCTAGGCACAGTGCCAGATTTTCTTTCATTGAACTTCTAACGGAGAACTAGACAGCGTTAGAATAAACTCGTTTGTAACACGACACCTGGGCTGTATCCTATTCGACACAGGCAAAACTGCTTTACGACATTACATAATCCATCATATTTGCAGTTTTTTATTTTGTTCGGAATTACGCTATTTTGAATAATCGCTTTAATTCTGCTATCATGGTTTGCAAATTTATAAATGTCAATTAACTGAACACATTGCTTATATTAAAACTGATTGGTTATGAATGCGCGTACTTCAAACTTACCACATAGGCTAATTGCATCGCTAACGACAATGTGTGATACTCTAACTTAATTTGTTTTTTAAATTATGTATGAATAAAAATTTAAAATTACTCAATTTAATAATAACTAGGTACCAAAAAACCCATTTATCAATCAAGCAAGATGGTGGTTGGTTCCACTGTTGCATACAATTTTAGATCTGAGTTAGACACTAATATGATGCAGTATAAAACAAAATGCTCCCGATCTACTACAATGAACTATCTTTCCCTTTAAACAAAAAAATGTCCCCGACTAACTTAATTCCCCCTAATCACAAACAAAATGCCTCCGACTAACTTAATTATTCCCTTTAACCACACACAAAAAATACCCCAGACTAACTACGACCATCTTTATCTTCCAGCAACCAGCTGCGACGTGTTTGGCGAGACCATCCCTGTGGGCGAGACTCGAAACTTTGCAGACGGCATGTACTGTGGATGTGAGGCAGACGGCTCAGCGTGGTGTGTCGCCTGAGAAGTTGAAGAAACAACAAACATGTCGCGCTGAAATAAAACGTTCAAATTATAATTTTCTAGTTTGTTTAGATAGTTCTTCTTCATCGTTCTTAATTTTTAGTGCTGGAAAGGATCCCATCCAACACAATTAAGTATACATGTCAACTGGTTATGCGCTATTTACTCCGATCACTGCCATAGCCTTTGTCCAACCAAGAACAAACTACAAGCCAGTAGTTATTTGATTTTGGAGTTGTCTCTCCTAGAAGAGTGGTTGTCCCCAGCTAACGAGCCTCATGTGCCCGAGGGTTCGAACTCGAGACTTTTCGGTTTAGCAACGATGAGCTTTACCGACCCCTACATTAGATAGTATTGTCTACTGTTTGTTATATATCACGTTTATTCATGATGTAATTGAACAGCTCCACAAAATCAGTTGACAATGGGTATGATAACCTCTGACATGTATCGTTACACAGCCACTGTTTGACATCCAGAAATGGATACCGTCTGGAGCACGGTGACCTAGTGTCATCCGTCTGGAGTACGGTGACCTAGTGTCATGCCAGGAGGTGATACGTCACCTATTGACACGCTCTGTAATTCCAGACCTACAGGTGTACGTGATCATACCTGCACCGTATGACTTCTCCGCCGGAGTCAGAGATCCCAGACATTAGAAGATTTTTTTCACAGGTTCTCAAAATTTTAAGTGGACATCCAACAACTTGGACCATGTCTGATTAATGTTTAAACATGTTCCTGTTAAACCTGGTCACGTTAAACCTGCTCACGTTAAACCTAGTCACGTTAAACCTGCTCACGTTAAACCTAGTCACGTTAAACCTGGTCACATTAAACCTGGTCACGTTAAACCTAGTCACGTTAAACCTGGTCACATTAAACCTGGGCACGTTAAACCTGGTCACGTTAAACCTGGTCACGTTACACCTGGTCACGTTAAAAATTGTCATGTTAAACCTAATCACGTTAAACCTGCTCACGTTAAACCTGTTCAGTTTCAATCATGTAAATCAAAAAAATAAAAACGCGTGACACAACCTTTTGTAGCTTCGCTCAACAACCTGCTCATCAACAACCTTATAATCCCGCCCCATCCCTATTCAGCCAACCCATCTACAACCCTAAAACCCAACCCCATCTCTGTTAGCCACCCCATATAGCATCACATATTTCACTTCAACATTGAACATCTGTATCAATAATAAGTGCGAACCAGACTTACTTGTTTCAATTTACAAGTTCATTAAAAATCTACCGGCATTAAATCCCTATAGTGTTTTTACTTTCTCGTATATACGAAGTGTAGAGAAAGTATTGTAATCGTGCACAAAAGTAACATGAAATTTTGACAGTTTTCACCGTTTTACTCCTCAGTCCTTCATCACATCCGGAGTATAAAGGACTTATTTTAATCAGGCAAAAATTATAAATACAAATATATAAACGTTTTGGCGTTTTATGCGTTATCGAGTCGTAAAAACTGGACTTTGCAATTCTGTCCGTATGTCTGTGTGTCTGTGTGTCTGCCTGTGTGTAAACACGATAACTTGAGTACCGTTACAGCTAGGTTGATGAAATTTCATATATAAGTATTTTATCAAAATCGTAGATCCTGATCAACTTTTGAGCGGTTTCCGATAACCGGAAGTGGTACTTATTCTACTTTGAATTTTCAAAAGCCTATAAGTTGCGTACTATTTTAGATAGATGCATGAAATTTCACACGTAAGTAAAAGATCTAATTTTCTACTTTCTGTCAAACTTTGAGTAATTTCCGTTGACGGGAAGTACTAATTTACGCTATTTCCGATTTCTCAAAAAAACGCATGTAAATTTATAAAGTACTAATAATATCCCGCACTTTTATACACATTTTATTAGGCGTTCACTTGGTGTGGGACGGAGTGGTCTAGCGGTAGAGAGCAGGACTGCTAACCCGTTAGTATCGAGTTCAAGTCAGTAGACCGTCCCTGAGTCCACCCAACTCTGATGGGTACCTAACTCCTGTTAGGGAAAGTAAAGGCGGCTGGGCATAGTGCTGACCACGCTATCTCTTCATATGCCGAGGTCACAGAAACAAGTGAACTCTACTTCACTTGCCCCATAGACCATCAGGTTTGAAAGGGAAACTTTTCACTTTTTTTTACAAGATTCTATTCTATTATAAAAAGTTTAAGTAATTAAAAATGGATAACAAATATTGTCTATGTCCTGAGTTGCCCTCCCTCGTAATTTTATATTAAAATATTCGAGAAAGTTTAGGGGATATCACTCCCGGCTTATTTTCATTTAAAATCTATTTTTGTGTTTTTCTTAATTTTTTTGTGATTTTGATATCTAGTGAAAATTAGCATAAAATATTATTTTTGGTAAATTTTATAAGCCACTATTTTTCCTAGTTATGTTATCTAAAAGTAATTATCTATGAAGGTTATTCATTATTTTACGAATACATTCATTTATATAATCAAATATTTAGTAAAAAAAGCTTCATTTTTTTGTTTTCTTCGTTTTGTCAATTTTTCGGTATAGAAGTCTGGGGAATCAATGTAACTAAAAATATGCCAATCCGAAATACTTCAAATGTCCACTGTATGTTGCGAATATATCTATCTATTACGTATTAGAATGGTTTGGTTGTACGTTCATTGTAAAAATAATTGTGAAATTTTTAGAATTATTTGCAAAGAATATCATACGATAAAAAATAAATTGATGCATTTAAAAAATTTCACTAAAAATTCCTTTTGTACGATATTAAAATTTCTTTCTGACATGTTGTGTACTATCATGTCTACTAGAAATTTGCAAAGATAATTTGCATTGTTATCAATTAGTTTTTTTGTGTTATTTTGTTTCAACTGTGCACCTACAAATTATTCACTTTGACACCATATTTCGCTACAAATGTATAAACTGGCCACAAATAAATCGAATATTGTAATGTTTAAAGTATTTTAAAGTTAATAAAACATTTTAAAAAATCATTTTTCTTTAATTTTAACATAAAATGTGTTTTTACTCCCGTAAAAGTTCTGAATGTGATATTGTCCAATGATAGAAAATTGAAATATATTTACCTATGTTTTAAATTTGAAAAAAAATCTTATTAAGAATCATTGATCTAAGCCAGTGGTTCCCAAACTTTTTCGAGTGGCGACCCCCTTTTATAAAAAGTAAATGACCCGCGACCCCCAAAAAATTAAAAAAACTAAATAAGTATGGAAATTAATAAGGACTAAAATAAGATTTTTTCTAGAAGACTTTCAATATGAACTACTCTTGATAACTGATTCAATACAATGAGTAAAATTGCATGCTATTTACTAAATATTCGCGGTTAAGTTATTGCTAACGCCAACCTATGATCAACATTATATGTATTTCTTAATTTTGTTTTTAATCGGACAACAGTGTTGAAATTCTATTCTCAAAAATACGTTTGGGTATGAATGGTGAATACTACACAAAAAAATGCCCCGAGATTATCATGGAAAGTGATGATATTCGTTCATTTTCCCTGAAGCTTCAGGTTAAGCTTATGTTGATGTTCGAATGTATCTGCTAGGTATGATACTCTCTCCAACCACTGTATGTCGTTTTAAGTATAAAAAAGGTCTTTTTTCCTTTGCACTTCCAAGAACAATTTGATTTCAGATTTTAATTAAAAAGCACGATTCACAACAATTCGTTAGACAGCCAGTGTACTGTAGTGTAGAAAAGCAGAACCTCGTCATCTATATTAATGTCTTGCTCAGTTTTTTGAAGGTTCCAGATGTAATATAATGTACTACTTTTACTAACAATGGAGTCTTGATGAAGAGGGCATACTAGTGAATTATGCAGTGGTTAGGGAGCTATATCTTTTCTGTATTCTGAAAGCCCGATTTTGACCTAAATATAGATAGTGCAACATCCGTACAAACCCCCACAGCCGTTTAAACCCATTTTAATCATCAAATTAAAAAAAAAACGTATTTATTTTCTCCATGCTATCTTCACAAAATAGCAACTCTTCTTTGCTATCATCTGAATGAATATAGACACAGACCAGCAACTGCGAACACGAACTCACGTCTGTTGATTTATCAACTTGTAAAGCAAACAATGGTGAACGCTTGATTTCCTTAAAAATTTGTTATTTAACATCTACGGACATGTCTGCTGAATAGTATTATTAGGCAGAGATATTTGTTGCATTTTTACTGCACTGGAATCTCCAAGAGTTAACTTCACCATCTTCAATATGCAGCGTTTGATGAGATTTTCTCCTATTGTGTTTTTTTTTTTTTTTTTTGCTTGGCATGTTATATCGCGACTTCATTTGATGCTTGCACTAATGCTGTGTTTCCTTGGTGAAAACTTCCTGTTTGATTAAGTCTCTGACGTTTGCAACTAGCTTCATGTCGACGAAAGAACTCCATATCTTTTTTGGTGTATTCAGAATGACTTGTCTCAAATGACGTTTTAGTTTTGAAGATTTCATTAACTCGTGACTTAGAACAACTTTGTACAGTACTCATTGCTTCTTCTCTATTCCATTTCCAGTTATGTTAGTAAAGCCGAATTTCAGATATTCTTCTAAATATTTATGTTTTGTTTCTCATTACTAAGGTTTAATATACCAGTTGGCGACCCCTCAGAAAGCCAGTTTCGGAACCCGTGATCTAAGCTCTTCGACCTGAAAATAGTGGCCTGAGGCTATGGATCGTCTCTAAACCTTCCTAATCTGCAGTGATTGACGTCCGTATGCACGATCCTGCAAATATGGATGGTATTTATCCGATTCACTTTTATTTTAATCAATATTATCAAACTCAATATTTATCTCTTCAATAGTGAAAATGTATTTAAATGCGAGTTAAAGATTCACTCGTCGAGAGAAGCTTGGTCGGATAGACTGTCAGATGATGTGTTCTTGTCCGGTCTCCACGTTTCTGCTGGTGCTGTGTGTGCTCATTGTAGGTGGCTACGCTGCTACGTTGAATACAACCACCACCACGACAACCACAATCAAGACGCCAACCATAAAAACTACAACTAAGGCGCCCACAACCAGAATAACAACTACGACAAAAGCGCGAACAACTCTGAAAACAATCTTGACCAAGGCGCCAGCTACCACGAAAACTACTATTAAAAAGACGCCGCCGACGACTAAAACAACTACTAAGAAGACGACGGTAACTACAAAAACAACTACGAAGTTGCCTACGACATCTACCAAAACAACGACTAAGAAAGCTACTACAGCAGCAACAACGTTATCACCGTCAACAACAAAATCCTACACAACCTTCTCGGCAACGAAAACAACAAACCCAGAAAACTGTGAGGTAAGTTGTCATTTCTATTTGTGTGTTGAATACCGCTCTAAAACTCACTCTATAGGTGACCATGTGTGTTTGTGTATATATTTTTAAAAAATGATGAATAAAAACATGTCAATATTATCATTGAGAGCTTTAGGGTCTAGATAACCCAGACCCAGACAACCCGTGTGCCCACTGTTTCTGTAGCAACGGTCGGTATGTATGTGAGTACCACTCCTGTATAGCGCCCAGTTGTGTTGATGACGTCACCAATCCTGGAGAGTGCTGCCCATTTTGCCCGAACGGTGAGTCTGGAACTTGCAGCCACATTTTTTAGAAATATTTTTTGTGTGCTCATCATCACACATAAACCGAAAATGTATAAACACCTCTAAAATAAAGTAAAAATACCCTTTTGGACCTAACGGCTATTAGGTCAGGTAAAGTCATATGTTTTTGTGACCACAGCATATCAAAATATGGGGTCTACGACAATTTCCCGAAAAACACTTGACCAAATACCGTTTGGCCGAAGTCCGCTATCCCGAATGGACACTAGCCCAAATCCGGGAATTGGGCTTATCCGTGCAAGTGTCCATTCGTGCAAACGGCATTCGGGCTAGTGTTTTCGGAAAAAATTCCGGCTGTCCTATGAATGGTGTGGTCAGCACTATGGCCAGCCGCCTTTACTTTCCTTGACGTAGTCAGGCACCCAGCTGAGCTGGGTAGACTCAATGACGTCCTGAAATATCGAACAGATTTCCTGAATGTTTTGATAAATTTGTAGAACAAAAAACAAATTTTACAAATTCAATTAGGAATATGTCTGTAAGGTTCAGAAATGAATTTGACGTCTCATTTTTTTTACTTCTTTCCCCATCGTCATACATCGTCACAAAAGCCCCAAAACCTCTCCATCACCAGGCATGTGAAATAATTCACGGACTAACACACCTGCTTTTGATTCACATCAATAACAAATGTATTGTTCTATAGTTCGTACACGCGATATTTCACTTTACACATTATAGCCATCACTGTACCACTTTCTCCAGGCGACAACTGTCAAGTAGGTGGTCAAATTATCCCAGTGAGTCAGACTCTAATTATCCCAGGATACGGCACATGCTCGTGTGTGTATCCCAAGGACGCAGATATCCCACACCCCGTATGTGTCGCTGTCACCACCAACACGCCAACCACCACACAGACGACAACAACTACATCAGGCAACTGTGAGGTCAGTAGTGGCTAACCCACATCAAATAGTATGCATGATTTACGTTCCACTAATGATATCTGAACCACTCCTCACTAACAAGTGATAAGAAGTTACTTTGTATCTTGTAGCTTTGCTAAATAGACATTTAGTCGCACTAAAATCTTTTGAAACAATTAGCCGAAATAACACACACACACATACACAACATACGCACACACAATTTTCTTGAACGGTCTAAAAGAACTGTATTAATAACAAGATTGTTAGACATAGTTTAACTACTCTTTAATATTTAGAAACAATTAAAATGCGATACTAACTTCTAAATCACACGAAAGTAAACAGGCAAAGTTCCCTTTTTGAAGGAGCATGTAAAACAGAGTTCACCTGTTAGTTGATCTCCGCACATGAAGGGATAATGTGGTCAACACTATGCCCATCCGCCTTTACTTTCCTTAAAGTAAGTTAGAGATGTTCTACTGACTTAAACACCGATTCGAACTCGAGGCTGTCGGGTTAACAGCCTAGTCTCTACGTTAAGCCATGCGGTCCAATCTAAATTTTATAGACTTGTGAAAATAAAACCCCATTTCTGCTTGATTTTATGCGCCCAACTTTATTGATAGCTCAGGAACGCAACATTTAATTAAAAAAAAGTTATATGGGGAAATACGGATACAAGATTTCATCACCATTCTAAAAACTAGTTTTTAATCAAACAGTAATTCACTTGAATATCAGACTATTTTTGCGGGGACTGGTCTTTAGATTCAAATAAAAACATAAGGAAACCCCTTGGTGATACACACTTAAAATATAATTAGTAAAATGTCAATATGAACCTTGAGTATTTTAGGGTCTGGACAACCCGGGTCTAGCCGACCCGTGCGCTCACTGTTTCTGTGACAACGGTCGGTATGTATGTGAGTACCACGCATGTCAGGCGCCCAACTGTGTTGATGACGTCACCAATCCTGGGGAATGCTGTGCATATTGCCCTAACGGTAAGTCTGAAACACAACAGCCAAATTGAAAAAAAATATTTGGCTCACAATGACACACAAACCGAAAATCTTTAAACACCCATCGAATTTTTAAAAAATCCGTTTTGGACATAACGGTCAACATGTTAGGTAAAGTAGAGCTCACGTAATTTTGTGACCACTTTATATCAAGGGAGAGCATAACAGGTCTATGCCCAGCTGCCTTTATTTTCCATAACGTATTCAGGTACCCATCAGAGCTGCGTAAACTCCGGGACGTACTACGAATTCAAAAACATTTTCTCAACGTTTTAATATAGCTGTGAAGCAAAAATATTTCTTTTTACATAATTCAATTTTTAAAAAGTATGTAAAGTGAAAAAATGAATGTGACGTCACCATTTTTAAAATATCTTCTTTCCCCATGGTCACACATCGTCACAAGAGCTCGAATCTCCAACACCAGGAATCTATATATATAATTCTCCTCTTCGAGCCGTTAGAAAACAAGCTGCAAACGCTCTCCCTACCTCCCCACCCCTACATGGTTTTAGTGAGCTGTGTTCACTCTAAATGTTTACAAGCAGAGCCAACGATTTTAAACGTAGGGGGGGGGGGGGGGGGGTTATGGTCCTTAACGAGCTACTTATAGTGTTTTAAAGAAATATTTTCAGCTTCAGCGTTGGTACTGTCGAATTCACAAATTATGAATTATTGAAAATTAGAAACAACTAAATAGCGGCGTATGTTATGCCGCGGGCCGGCTCGTGTGATATAATCTACGTTCGAACACACCAGCTTTTAAAACACATCAATAATAAATGTATCTGTTCTATATTTTATCTAGGCGACATTTAACTTTAAACCCTTGCTACCATCCTCACCTGTACCACTTTCTCCAGGCGACAACTGTCAAGTAGGTGGTCAAATTATCCCAGTGAGTCAGACTCTAATTATCCCAGGATATGGCGCATGCTCGTGTGTCTATCCCAAGGACACAGATATCCCACACCCCGTATGTGTCGCTGTCACCACCAGCACGCCAACCACCACACAGACGACAACAACTACACCAGACAACTGTGAGGTCAGTAGTGGCTAACCCACATCGTGTGTGGTGATCTCGAGGCTTATGATCACGGGCAGAAATTTTAACCAACTGGGGATATGTTCGATTGAAAAATCTTAGAGCTTTTACAGCTTTATTCCAAACTCACCATAACGATGGCAAAATTCTAAATAAACATATGGCCTATATATACATATATATATATATATATATATATATATATATATATATATATATATATATATATATATATATATATATATATATATATGTTTATATATATATACATATATACAGTCAGTTAAATAACTATCTAATTTGTATTTAACGAGCAATATGATTAAAATTTAACATCCGAAACTACTTTTATAGTATTGTAACTTGTAAGTCCTCGACATTTTGCCTCAGGGTATTGAAAACCCAGGGTTAGGTGACCCTTGTGCCTACTGCAACTGTTACCGTGGTGAGTACCTGTGCGCGCATCAAAGCTGCCCAGAGCTTACCTGTGAGAGTCAGAGAACGGAACCTGGAGAGTGCTGTACACAGTGTGTTTAAAGGTCAGCTGAGGAATTTTTCTTTTTAAATAGTTGGACACCCTGAGTTTATAGTTTTCATTCAAATGCTTAGCGATCCATTCCGGCGCGGGGGCAAACTATCTAATTAGAGCCCCCCCCCCTCTCCCCACCACCTTCAATGTAAGCCTAAACAGTGTATAATGCAGCAATGCAACACACAGTAAGCTTTTAATTTTTTCTAGCCTCCTTTGGCGCTCCCGGGGGTTAGTGCCTGGGGCGGTCGCCCAACCCGCCCTTCCCTAGCTACGCCTCTGCTATCATTTAAGGGGGCAGTATCACCCAGAAATTTGAAAATTGACGAAAAAATTTGCCAAAAAAAAACTATTATACATACACACATAAATCTTTTACCATAATAGTAATTAGCAAGGAGCTATAAAACAGCACATAAAAGAAAGTTAACGTATGATGCAAACATTTTTTATAAATAATTTTACCAAAAAATGTTTACTAAGTAATTTTTGGCTGCGGTTTTCCAACATTTAGGCCCTTCCTTCTGAAAATACTCTGGGAGATGCATATCAGGGTTGCCTATGTCCGGGGCTAGGAGATATCCATTGTGACAAATTTTGAAAATTTTAGAATTTTTCAAAGTCAGACCAAAATAATTGAACTTTGAAATTTCCTAAAAAATTTATCACTCAATAGAATACTATTATCCTAGTCCAGGGGTCGGCAACCTTTTGAGACCGAAGAGCCAAAAGTTACAATTTATAAAATTTCCCAGTTTTTAAAGAGCCGCCAACATTTTTTTTCAATAATATGATGTTTATTTAGGATTTGGTATATATATATATATATATATATATATATATATATATATATATATATATATATATATATATATATCAATATATATATCAATGTTTGTGTGTGTGTCTGTTTTTCTTTTATGCATTACTACATCTTTCATCCGATCGCCATGAAACTTTGGGAAGTTGCTAATGCACATGGAAAGGTTTCTGCGAAAAAAGTTTTTCAAACTCGCAGGATTGCCCCTCCCCCCCCCCACCCCCCGGCAGCGCGCTATTCGATTCTTCTCTATATACTGTATATAAAAGTAAAGTCGATTGCGGTTTGACACCGTTCATCCGATCGTCATGAAACCTAGTTGACTAAAACACTCCAGGGGAGGTTTGTACACACAAAAAATCATTTTAAAATTTTTATGGGCGGCGCCCGGGTGGTGTATTTTTTGTCAATACACCTTTTGGCGCCCAGGGTTCCGGAGCGGCTATGTTAGTACTTGGCATCCGTTAATCTTGCGTTCTGCATATCGGGTAAGGGGTACTACTATATTTAGCGGCAAAACTGCAACAGGTGCAACCACCGGCGCCTCGTCGATTGCGCGATCCGAAGCGCCCCGGGCTCACCTGCGAGCGCTATGTCGCCTACGTTCGTTTTTAAAAATAGGCTATACACTATAGACACGCGTTGATTTAGTCGCTTACTAAACGAATCAGGCTCATCCTCCTGCTTCTCTGCAGGGTGCGATTTGGCGCCCAGGGCTATCCTGCGAGCACCAAGCGCCTATCTTGATTTTAAGGAGCACCCTACAATACGACATACGATGATTAAACCGAGCTAGGGGCCGTGCGCAGCGCCACTGCGGTAGTGTAATCCGGTTCACGAGAGCGTCACTTTCCGTCCTCGACAATTAGGCGGTGAGTGATTAATTTACACTCAAGTCTTTCATACAGCACGCCATGGTGGTAGGCGGTAGTGTAGGTAACCAGTGCCTCGATAAATATGATCCAAACACGGGCATTGTTTACATTTAAATAACTCAGCTTTAGAAAACAAGGAAGTACATTGAAATAGGGAGTAACAAAATATTCTAATAGAATAGCGAGTGTTTATTGTTTATTTTTGTTATTATATCGTTCATTACCGAGTGTTGCAGACTAATAATTTTATAAGTTTTAAAAAATAAAATAAAACAATTATTAATAAGTGCACCGAGCTGAAGAGCCGCAACTTGAGACCAAAAGAGCCGCATGCGGCTCGCGAGCCGCAGGTTGCCGACCCCTGTCCTAGTCCATGACATAACCAATAAAGCAAGGAAGGTTTATACCAAATTTTAAGTACTTTACTTATGGTTTCGAAAAATTGTTTACAAAAAATTAAAAATGTGATAAAATATTAACAAAATAATTTTTTGACAATTTATTGCCATACATATACTTTACAATTTATATACTGTATTATAGCAGAAGAAACGTTACTATAGCTGTAAAAATTCGACATGTGTATGTCAAATAGTTTTTTTTTGGTGATAGTTTTTGTTTCCCTCCCTTAGTCTGGGTGATACTGCCCCCTTAAATTAAAACAACGTTAGATAACTCACCAAAAGTTCCAGAAACCTAAAGTACTGGACTCTATTAAAATAACTGATACGACCTAAACATACTGTTTTATTCAACTAGTATGGACTTATTATTTTCAGGTTTGTATCTATATCCAGTGCCCGTAGGTCATTTGATCATCTGACAACAAGCTAGAGGCTGTCTTTATACTTATAGTACTAGCTGTACAGTAGCCTACAGTACTCTACAACCTCTTGTGTAGGATTTAAAGTGAAACATCTATCATGAGTGGACCTTATCTTATTAAAGACAAATCTTCTTTTACATGGTGTTAAAATATTTATTTGAAGTATGTTTTAATTTGTTTAAAGTTTTTGTCTTTTAAAGTAGATATGAGATCCGGTGTAGTGTTTAAGTAACGACATCCATTTGTTTTATGAAAATCAGAATTTTTAAAAAATGTAAATTAATTGTAATTAATATTTCCGCTTTAAAATTAAATGTCTGCAGAATCGTACAGTTTCTACTGAGTTTAAGAAAGCACAATTAAAATTAAGCCAATGTGTAGTTAAGATAGTAAATAGTTTTTGATGACATTTAACTGCCAAATCTAAGATTGCAGGTGTAAAAATGCGGGTTTCGTGTTCTAAAGAAACGTTGCATAAAATAAACAATTGATCAGATTTTATTCGAATGGTTGTCTGACCAATTTATAGAAGTCTATACTTTTTATTATTTTAGTTGATTTAACTCTGCATATTTCAATTTATTTTATAATGCAGTTTTACAATGCTTCAATTCTTATACCTAGTAAAACGAATCACAATATCTATATATATAATTCTCTTCTGGGAGCCGCTAGAAAACAAGCTGCAAACGCGCCTAGAAAACAAGCTGTAAACGCGCTCCCTACCTCCCCACCCCTACATGGTTTTAGTGAGCTGTGTTCACTCTAAATGTTTACAAGCAGAGCCAACGATTTTAAACATAGGGGGGGGGGGGAAGGAGGGGGGTTACGGTCCTTAACGAGCTACTTATAGTGTTTTATAGAAATATTTTCAGTGGCAGCGTTGGTACTGTCGAATTCACAAATTATGAATTACTGAAAAGTAGAAAATAAAACAACTAAATAGCGGCGTATGTTATGCCGCGGGCCGGCTCGTTATTATTAAAATTTTAAAATATATATTCTTTTACATGTAACTTTTTTATATTAGCAGTTGCTTTACCTGAAAGTTGAGATTCCATTTATCAACTTCAGTGTTTTAGAGAATATAAATATTGTATAACACAATTCTTTGTATAATGCTGTTTATCAATATAAATAGTGTCTGATACAGTTCGAGTTGCATTCCAAATGTTCTTTAAAAAAAATTCTCTATAAACAAGAATTAGAGTAAAAAGGTAGTACATTTGGAGGTCTCGCTGTAGATATGAAGAAAACGACAAAATAATTGGGACAAGATTCTTATAACTTTTGATTTGGTCAACTGAAGACCTCACTGGCATGCCTGAATAAAAGAAAATATCTGATATAAATAAATCACGGAGTGTTAAACGCTAATGTTGACAACATCTTGAGATTAACTTAAAAATAAATTAGATATCAGGCGCATCTTTTGTGCGAGCCACATGCGTAATCTGTCTCTAACAACCCCACACCGACATATCAGAAGATTGAAGTCTCAAAGCCGAGAAAATTCAATAAGTAATTCACATCTTTCGATTAGCGCACTGTTTTTACAAGACGTTCAGACGCTGGTGGATTTACTCAGTGAAGAGAGCACATGATGACGTCGTTTGTTCGAATCTCGAATCTGTGTCTGTTGCTCGCAGTGCTGGTCGCCTACAGTCTGATTTCTGTACAGACAGCACGAGCCAAGAAAGAGAGCAGACATTTGCCGACAAAAAAGCCATCACCAACGCACAAAGCACATAGAACGAAAACAGCGGAGCAACCTGATTGCGATGTAAGTTATCATGGTATAAGCTTTCATTGTGTCAAATATTTGCATTGCTTTGTTAGTGAGATATGAACGATTTGTTAAGTGACGATATTAAAACAATTGTTTGAACATCGATTTGCCGTTCTTGAACCTAAATATCATTTTTTTATTTCCCTAGTAAGTCACTTTTCCTGTAATATTACTGTTTCTACCTTCACTACGACGTTACCTTTCATTTATATCATTATTTCTACCTTACCTTCACTAAGACGTCAGTCCTAAGGTATCATTGTTTCTACCTTTCTTAGGACATCACCTGTCCTAAGAAATCATTGTGTCTACCTTCACTATGACGTCACTTGTCATAAGATATCATTGTTTCTACCTTCACTAAGACTTCACCTGTCTTAAGATATCATTGTTTCTACCTTCACTATGACGTCACTTGTCTTAAGATATCATTGTTTCTACCTTCACTATGACGTCACTTGTCTTAAGATATCATTGTTTCTACCTTCACTATGACGTCACCTGTCTTAAGATATCATTGTTTCTACCTTCACTATGACGTCACTTGTCTTAAGATATCATTGTTTCTACCTTCACTATGACGTCACTTGTCTTAAGATATCATTGTTTCTACCTTCACTATGACGTCACTTGTCTTAAGATATCATTGTTTCTACCTTCACTATGACGTCACTTGTCTTAAGATATCATTGTTTCTACCTGTCTTAGGACGTCGACTGTCCTGATGTCACCTGCGACAACCCAACCAAAAAGCCAGGTGATTGCTGTCAGAAATGCTCAGGTGAGTTTGTGAATTCTGCCAGACCTGCGCAGGTGAGTGGGATATTGCTGCCAGACCTGTCCAGGTGAGTTGGTGATTAGCTGGTTAAAATAGTTTCAGATTCTTAACTGCTAAATCAAGGTGACCTCATACGTTTCAGTTCTCCCAATCATCAGAGTATTGATAGTTCACGACATTTACAATTTATATCATTACATTTTGACTATGATCGCGTCTGTCTGAAAAACGTATACAACACTACACAATACTAAACGATACAGTATTACACAATGCAATGTTACACTACACTACACTACACAGCACGGCGATATACTACACAATACTACACGATACAGTACTACACAATGCAATGCTACACAACAGTACAAAATACTACACAAACTGCACAACACAATACTATACAACATTACACTACTCAACTTACCACCCCCTACATCCAGTACACCTCAAGTCATGCACAAACATAACTTGGGGCAAGTAACTCCAAAATCAAACAAGTAAAGCTAACTCGGCATCGCTGGGTGCATGGGCTCGCAGTGAAGGTCATCGGTCAGGGCGCAAGAGTTTCTAGATGGACTTCAACGGTCACGTCTTTGTGACCAAGGCAACCGACTGTGGCCAGGCATGCAGACACTTAGACACACCACACAATCTACCCCAATGGTTAAAGGGTTTATTTGTATCTTTTATAATTCCTGATATATTTTATTTTACCACCCACAAAATTTACCTTTCATTGACAGGCTGTGACGTACACGGGGTAAACATCCCCGTGGGTAAGACCCACACCTTCCCCGAGGGGTACTACTGTGGGTGTAAGGCAAGTGGTGAAGTATGGTGTGTCGCCTAAGAAAACAACACGGACCTAAATTTACTACACATAATGCCAGAATAAACAAAGTTGAAATCTTGGCAACACAAACTTACCTCACAATATACCGAAATACAAAAACTTGAAATCTTGACAACACGGACCTAAATTTACCACACACTATAACAAAAAAAGACATTTAATATACATTATACCTGAATAAACAAACTTGAAATCTTCACTGAATTTGTGTTTTGTTCTATAAAACTTTCTTTTATTAAAAGAATAGACTTAACCATGGCAAACAATGAGGAAGTATACTTTACCGAACAACTCATAAACAACAAGCGATGATTCGATGAACAGATGTCAAAATGTCTTAAATAAACCTTCTAATAACTAGTAAGATGGGGAAAAAACACAAACCAACACACAAACCAATACAAACATCAAACAGCACACAAACCACAAGACAAATCAACAAGCATGCCTGCAAGAAAATAAAAAAAATACAAACACAAACACACAAACCAATACATAAAACAATAAAAACAAACACACCAACAAACACACGGAATCATAAACCAACACGAAAACCAGATTACAAATCAACAAACAAGCCTACATAGAAACATACAATCCAACACACAATCCTAAACCATAAGATGAAAAACAAACCAGCAAACACAAGAAAAAGCTGGTACACACAAACTTCAAGTGGTAAACATGTGATCAGTTTTCATTTACAGAATATAATCAGATTATGGACCACCATGCCAATCTCTTCGTGAGTCGGCTTTCTCGTACGTTCGTCATTCCCTTAATCCGTGCGGTAATCGTGTAATTAAGAACGCACGTTTTCGTGGCGTATGCAGGCCAATTTTCTCACACACACATACACACACGCACATACATACCCAGACACACACACACACACACACACACACATATATATATATATATATATATATATATATATATATATATATATATATATATATATATATATATATATATATATATATATATATATATATATATATGTAGGAGACGTTTGTAGTCTGAAATCATGTCGAGAGTTGTGCGTGTTTGGCTGTTGTAGTCATGTGGTCGGTGTCTAGCACAGCCGGGTCGGTACCTGTGGATTCGAACCTGTAGATAGCCTCTGACGTCTGATATTTTTTAAACAAATTTTATGTTCTGTTTTATGTGTCTTGTTTCTATCTCTATGTGAATGTTTGTTATGGTTGGTGAACAAGTTTGTGTTCACGTTTATTTACGTTCTGCTTTCCAGTCCAGTGAATTTTTGGGTATATTTCTTTCCCTTTATTCAGTGTACGCCTTATCCATTTCTACTTACCGATTTAGGTATCGAAATCAGTGGCATGCTGCCTCTTATTTCGGTCCAGGTGCTTACAGGTGCTTAAAGGTGCTTACAGGTGCTTACAGGTGCTTACTGGGCGTCACAAAACCCCGAACTTTCCATGATGTCAAAGAACGTGACGTCATATCATGTGCGACAATCAAACACCACGATATAATCATGCTGATGAGAATAGAACTTCTACACCACGATATAATCATGCTGATGAGACTAGTACTTCTACACAACAATATAATCATGCTGATGAGACTAGTTCTTCTACACCACGATATAATCATGCTGATGAGACTAGTACTTCTACACCACGATATAATCATGCTGATGAGACTAGTACTTCTACACAACAATATAATCATGCTGATGAGACTAGTACTTCTACACCACGATATAATCATGCTGATGAGACTAGTACTTCTACACCACGATATAATCATGCTGATGAGACCAGTTCTTCTACACCACGATATAATCATGTGATGAGACTAGTACTTCTACACCACGATATTATCATGCTGATGAGACTAGTACTTCTACACCACGATATAATCATGCTGATGAGACTAGTTCTTCTACACCACGATATAATCATGCTGATGAGACTAGTTCTTCTACACCACGATATAATCATGCTGATGAGACTAGTACTTCTACACCACGATATAATCATGCTGATGAGACTAGTACTTCTACACCACGATATAATCATGCTGATGAGACTAGTTCTTCTACACCACGATATAATCATGCTGATGAGACTGGTACTTCTACACCACGATATAATCATGCTGATGTGACTAGTTCTTCTACACCACGATATAATCATGCTGATGAGACTAGTACTTCTACACCACGATATAATCATGCTGATGAGACTAGTACTTCTACACCACGATATAATCATGCTGATGAGACTAGTACTTCTACACCACGATATAATCATGCTGATGAGACCAGTTCTTCTACACCACGATATAATCATGTGATGAGACTAGTACTTCTACACCACGATATAATCATGCTGATGAGACTAGTACTTCTACACCACGATATAATCATGCTGATGAGACTAGTTCTTCTACACCACGATATAATCATGCTGATGAGACTAGTTCTTCTACACCACGATATAATCATGCTGATGAGACTAGTACTTCTACACCACGATATAATCATGCTGATGAGACTAGTACTTCTACACCACGATATAATCATGCTGATGAGACTAGTTCTTCTACACCACGATATAATCATGCTGATGAGACTAGTACTTCTACACCACGATATAATCATGCTGATGAGACTAGTACTTCTACACCACGATATAATCATGCTGATGAGACTAGTACTTCTACACCACGATATAATCATGCTGATGAGACTAGTACTTCTACACCACGATATAATCATGCTGATGAGACCAGTACTTCTACACCACGATATAATCATGCTGATGAGACTAGTACTTCTACACCACGATATAATCATGCTGATGAGACCAGTACTTCTACACCACGATATAATCATGCTGATGAGACTAGTACTTCTTCACCACGCTATAATCATGCTGATGAGACTAGTACTTCTACACCACGATATAATCATGCTGATGAGACTAGTTCTTCCACACCACGATATAATCATGCTGATGAGACTAGTACTTCTACACCACGATATAATCATGCTGATGAGACTAGTTCTTCTACACCACGATGTAATCATGCTGATGAGACCAGTACTTCTACACCACGATATAATCATGCTGATGAGACTAGTTCTTCTACACCACGATATAATCATGCTGATGAGACTAGTTCTTCTACACCACGATAAAATCATGCTGATGAGACTAGTACTTCTACACCACGATATAATCATGCTGATGAGACTAGTTCTTCTACACCACGATGTAATCATGCTGATGAGACTAGTTCTTCTACACCACGATATAATCATGTTGATGAGACCAGTATTTCTGACACTCAGCTCCTACCGGTAGTTTCCCTTTTAGGCCAGGCCCCACCCCACAGACCAGTCACCCATAATTTTTGTTTTCATTCTAAAAAAGTTAACATACCTTAACATTCCAGGTCATGTCAACCAAACAAAAATTAATCAATCCCCCCCCCCCCCCCCCCCCATCCTTTCCTGTATCGATTCAAAATATGATATTTAAAAAAAAACACGTACACAGTATCCTACATCTCAGTTAGTCTGAAAATTAAAACCTCCATAACGCACGATTTAATCTTCAAAAGCTTACATCGCGACATGTTTGTGAAACAGAAATAGAAATTAATCGATTCATAAGGTTTACAAAATGACCTGAATTGACTACAGTCTACATAACTAGTTAAACCAGCGGCTAATACCTCACCGAGTAATTAACAAGCAGTAACGTACTTGGAAATATGGTGAGGTGTGGAAGCAGGCGTTGTAACTGAAATAGCAATGTAAACAGAAAGTGATATTTCAACGCCAAGGACAGAGGTACAGACAATAGTCCAAGTAAAGACAGAACAGTCAAATCCAACGGGATCCGAACCTACCATTTCCACACGGTACAAAATCGCCTCGCCTCCCATGCATCAAATCAGACGTGTAACCACTTCTGTCAATCAGCTCTACAAAAATAGAACTTTCACGACAGACCACTATCACAACCGGATAATGAATGAAACAAATATTTATCCTGGAATTAGCCTTTATGAACTTTGTCTTTTGCTTGTGGATTTCCTGTGTCTTTTGCGCGAGAAATTCTTGACATGGAAGGAAAAAAACACATAGTACGATAATAATTAGACGATGTATTAGTTGCAACTATAACTTAACTGTGTAAAAAGCTATTGACACACACAAACAATCCATTTTTCCGCGTACGTCATTGTGTACAATAACAAAAGGTCCTTCCATTGCCGTTCTGATTTTTAGAAAACTTATCACTGAAATCGTTACTTCTATCGAATGTAGCAGCCTGTGACTTAAGTCGAGGAAAGTAAGATCAGTTTTCAGTACAAAAATTCAAATATAATTTCGAATTTCACTTTCATATTAAAAGTCAACATTTGTAGGAGATTAATGGGATTAACGGCACGCAGTAGCTTTGTCTAATCCTTACAAAATCCGTATAGTCATGTGATATCATTTCAAAACAAAATTGAAATCTATTGCGGTTTAATCCTTTTTTTGTTGGAAAACCAATACCTTTCTCGAATTCATGATTGAAAAGCTATATAAAAAGGGAGGTAAGTGTTCGAGGACTTGCTAAGGTGTGATAACTCGGGAGTTCTGCAGCGTGAAAACATCCACAATGGTGTCAACAAGATTCATGAGCGTGTGTCTAGCTGTGTCAGTGTTGCTCGTCTACACCTTGACCAGTGTCCAGTCGGCACCAACCACCAAACGAGCACCACCCACGACCAAAGCACCACCGACCACCAAAGCACCAGTTAAGAAAGCACCAAAGACGACAAAACCACCACCTACAACGGCAAAGCCAAAACCACCCCCGAAGTCGAAACCACCTCAGACCCCGCAACCACCTCCGCCAACACCACCACCTACAATCATAGCACCTCAGCCATGTCAGGTAGGTTTCTGTTAGTTGTAGTTATATAAACTACGGTAGGTTTCTGTTAGTTATAGTTATGTAAGGTTGGTTTCTGTTAGTTGTAGTTATATCAACTAAGGTAGGTTTCTGTTAGTTGTAGTTATATCAACTAAGGTAGGTTTATGTTAGTTGTAGTTATGTAAGGTAGGTGTCTGTTAGTTGTAGTTATATCAACTAAGGTAGGTTTATGTTAGTTGTTGTTATATCAACTAAGGTAGGTTTCTGTTGTAGTTATAGATCGGTTAAGGTAGGTTACTGTTAGTTGTAGTTATGTAAGGTAGGTGTCTGTTAGTTGTAGTTATATCAACTAAGGTAGGTTTATGTTAGTTGTAGTTATAGATCGGTTAAGGTAGGTTACTGTTAGTTGTAGTTATGTAAGGTAGGTGTCTGTTAGTTGTAGTTATATCAACTAAGGTAGGTTTCTGTTAGTTGTAGTTATATCAACTAAGGTAGGTTTATGTTAGTTATGGTTCTATCAACTATGGTTGATTTCTGTCAGTTGTAGTTATAGATCAGTAAAGGTAGGTCTCTGTCAAACAGTAGATCATTTAAAGCAGGTTTATGGTAGTCGTTTGTAGATAATTGTAAGGTAGGTATATAAAATTGTATGTAAGTAACTGTTAGGTAGGTTTGTGAAAATCGTTTGTTAATAATTGTAATACACGCTTTTCCTAAAATAATTTTTACCCTTTTGAAATTTATTGTCGTTATTGAATTCCTAGTTTTAGATGATGTTTAATCAAATTAAATAAGTACTGTACTCAAATTCGGTAAGGAACGGCATGGCCTAGCGGTAGAGCGCTAGGCTGCTAGACCAAAAGTCTTGAGTTCGAATTCGGGTCCGTGATAGTAAAACGTCCTTGAATCCATCCAAATGAACTCTACTTCATCTGCTCAATGAATCGCTAGGTCTAAAGAGGATTCTTTACTTTTTTTTTAAAACTCATATGTAGTCGTGTGAAAAAAAATGTTTTTTCATTCCCTAGGAATGTGAAAAATCTTATTCTCAATCCCTAGGCTCATATTTCAATCCCTATAATGTTAAGACTCATATTCGCAATCCCTAGCATGTTAAGACTCATATTCTCAATCCCTAGGATGTTAAGACTCATATTCTCATATTCCCTAGGATCTTAAGACTCATATTCTCAATCCCTAGGATGTTAAGACTCATATTCTCAATCCCTAGGATGTTAAGACTCATATTCGCAATCCCTAGAATGTTAAGACTCATATTCTCAATCCCTAGGATGTTGTCTGTGCTGCTGTCGCCTGTGACGCCCCCATCCTGACAGAAGGTGAATGCTGCCCAACCTGTCCAGGTAAGACTCTGAAATTAGACTACTCTACACCTTTTAGTATCCCACTGAGAGCATTAACCGACTCAGGTAAGACTCTGAAAGCTGACTACTCTACACCTTTTAGTATCGCACTGAGAGCATTAACCGACTCAGGTAAGACTCTGAAAGCAGACTACTCTACACCTTTTAGTATCCCACTGAGAGCATTAACCGACTCAGGTAAGACTCTGAAAGAAGACTACTCTACACCTTTTAGTATCCCACTGAGAGCATTAACCGACTCAGGTAAGACTCTGAAAGCAGACTACTCTACACCTTTTAGTATCCCACTGAGAGCATTAACAGACGCAGGTAAGACTCTGAAAGCAGACTACTCTACACCTTTTAGTATCCCACTGAGAGCATTAACTGACTCAGGTGAACTTCGTGCACTCAGTTTGTTCTGGGTGGGTGGTTACCTGCACTCAGTCAGGTGAGAGCGTGACAAACAAGCGGTCTTCATGTTGATAAATGCGGGTGCCCTGGGGGCCTATGTATCACCAAGCGGGTACCCAGGTCACAAAATGCGGTACCCATGTTTCAACCTGCCTCTTGTCCAAGTGCCCTTGTCCCAACATGCTGGGTCCCAGGGTACCCATATCCCAGAATGTGGGTGCCTAAGTCTTATAAATAGTATCAGCGTATTGTTAGGGAACGTGAGTATGTGTGTAGTGAAAAGTTTGACACAATCAAAGATGTTGAGTTTGTGACGCAGTGAGCCAGAATGTGACATTTTTGTATAGCATCGTTGTTGCTGGGGAAACAAGCGAGTGCCATGTCCCAACATACGGGTGCCCATGTCCCAAAAAGTGGGTGCCCATGTCCCAATATCCTTGTGCTAATATCTAGTATAAGGGTGCCCATGTCTGAAGTCTTTAGATATTCCAATCCTGTACGACTCCCACCCCAATGTTCACTACAACTAACCTGTTCTTTCAGCAACCAGCTGTGAAGTGTTTGGCGCCCAGATCCCTATAGGAGAGACCCACTACTTCTCTGCTGACATGTACTGTGTCTGTGAATCTACAGAGTCTATGTACTGTGTCGCCTAGTGAGTTGCCAGAACAAAGGTCTTCGCACTATGCCAAAATAAAACATGAAAAATAATTGATTTCTTTTTATGTTTTTATGTTGTTTTGTTTGTTTGATCTTAGTTTGTTTGTTTTTTGTGGCTTTTAATCAACTTTTAACGCAGCGATTTTAACGATGACAATGAATTAATATCTAATTATTAAAATTCTAAATAGACATTGTGCTAGTGTTTTAAATCTGATTAAAAGATTACTAAATTAAATAATAAAAGGGGAGATAACCAGCTAGGCGGGATCACCCATGTCCAAACATGACAATGATCATGACCGACAACCCAAACGGTATGGTGGCAGACATATCGTGTATATGACCAAGGACTGGAGGTAGTTCAATCATTCAAGTACCCTGGCGCCATACTATCCTATGAAGGAACGAAGCAAGAAACACTTGTACGATGTGCGCATACAACAACATCATTCAGCCAACTAAGAAACATTTGGTATCACAACAACACTTTTATTTTTTAAAGCTTGTGTCTCAAATACGATTGGCCCATTTGAGAGTTTACTGAGCATAGTCAAAATTAGAAAATTGAGGTGGTATGGGCATGTCACAAGATCAAACAGTCTATAGCTATTCAAACCAATATCACAAGGCACTGTGCCAGGTGGGGAAGGCAAAGACATGACTGGATGGATGACATCAACGATTCGACGGGGCTGTCCGTCTCAGAACTAATCAAATGACAGAGGAATAAGGTGGATGGCGGAGAATTAAAAGGTCAATTGTAGTGCACCAACGTCCACAATAAGATCAAAAGATCACGATGATGGCTGGTGCTAGACCTAATAAATTTATCAACGCAATTAATAAACACAAATTGAAAACAAATAATGCGATATTTAAAATATTTGTACTTATAACAAATAAATTATAAAAAAATTATGCCAATAATATAGTCAAAGAAGTAATGCTTTAATGGTTAACAAAATAACAGATGAGCAATAGCACACAAATACGTCAGTACATCTGTTGCACCTTGTTTGAACAGCACATTGTACTTTCTTCATGTAGCATACTGTATCGCTTTTCGGCTGGATAACTTTTGATTATACTTGATACAAATATACCATTACATCATATCGCCCCTTAAAGTTTAATTACTTCACTTTTTATGCCTTGATATTTCAAACCATATACGGCCAAAGCACCTTTGATGAAAACTCTCTCTGGAACAAAAAAAAAACAACTGTGGCCAAAGCTTCTCGGTGATCAAACCACCTACGATCAAAGCCCTTATTGTGCCATGCACCTGTGGTCAAAGTTATTAGAACACATCACAAGTATGTGGGATTTGCTGGGATATACTGGGCAGGGGTGGGATATTCTGGGATATACTGGGCAGGGGTGGGATATTCTGGGCAGGGGTGGGATATTCTGGGTAGTTAAGTGGGATATGCTAGGTAATTGGATGGCAGGGTATTCTCAAAATGATCGAAATATTTATAATTGCTCTACAAAATCAAAATAGTGATCCTAAAACAGAAACTATAGTATTATAAAACACCATACCATGTCTCTCTGTAGCCCCACTTAGCTCTCAGATGGTACCGATACATGCACCAGTTGCTTCTTGACACACCTAAATAGTTCCTAACATCCCCCCCCCTTATGTGGTGTGTAAACAAACACACAATGGAAACTTCACATCGTCCGATATACAGTTCATTCACATGATGTAATAGAATAGCTACAGTAAAATACAGTTCATTCACACAAAATGTAATGGAATAGCTCCACCTCTCATACCCAGTAATGATAATTTCTGACATGCACCTTGATGTGACACACCCAAAACCTGACATGCAGAAATGTACACCGTCTGGGGCACCGTGACCCAGCTTTGTGCCAGTGGGAGAAACGTCACATGTTGGCACCATACCTGCACGGTACCGTCTGTAATTACACACTAAGTTCTTCAGGTGTTCCTGCTTATACCTGCACGGTACCGTCTGTAATTCCACACGAAACTCTTCAGGTGTTGTTGGTCATAACGACACCATTTGATTCCACAGCCGAGGGTTCCACTGTAAGAAACATGTGTTTTTTTCCGGAGGTTCTCAAACTTCCATGCGGAGATCAAATAATTCCAACGATGTGTGATTGATATTAAGCGTGGTCAGATTTAGTCACGTGTGCCTAGACAATCGTTATTTATGGCGACATCTACAGCAGCTTTAAACACTAAGAACACACCATCAACCCTAAACATGAACCACATCCCTCTTAAACCAACCAAACCACAACAACTAACCTCATTCCTATTCAATAAGCCCAACCCAACCTCAAAGCTCAACCACATCCCCATTCAACCTACCTACCCACAACCCTAAAACCCAACCCCATCACTATTCAACCTACCTACCCACAACCCTAAAACCCAACCCCATCACTATTCAACCTACCTACCCACAACCCTAAAACCCAACCCCATCACTATTCAACCTACCTACCCACAACCCTAAAATCCAACCCCATCACTATTCAACCTACCTACCCACAACCCTAAATCCAACCCCATCACTATTCAACCTACCTACCCACAACCCTAAAACCCAACCCCATCACTATTCAACCTACCTACCCACATCCCTAAAACCCAACCTCATCACTATTCAACTTACCTACCCACAACCATAAAGCCCAACCCCATCACTATTCAACCTACCTACCCACAACCCTAAAACCCAACCCCATCACTATTCAACCTACCTACCCACAACCCTAAAACCCAACCCCATCACTATTCAACCTACCTACCCACAACCCTAAAACCCAACCCCATCACTATTCAACCTACCTACCCACAACCCTAAAACCCAACCCCATCACTATTCCCCAACATCGTCCACGTCACGTGCTTTCAATAACCCTTTAGGTTCGAAACCCCGCTCCAAGTACGAAACGGCCCCACATTTTTACACTGAAAACATTCCTAGTCATCGAATTCCTACCTTATATTTTTTATCCCTAAGTGAGCACACTAACCTTCCTGTAGGTAGTCGGTCGCTATGACGTTGTGTACTCACCTAGATGGAAGATTAAGGTAAACTCTAGAACGTCGCTTTACAGTAGACAAATAACTAAAAGGTTAATCGCCTAGCCCAGTACGATCTCATCGATTAGGTAACCGACGTGTTAGAAGTCTCATCTAACACAAACCCGCCCATATCGATATCGCTCCGCGTCAGACTTGTCTAATCTCCAATGAAAATCGATTACTTTTAAATTTAATTAAATCCTACTTGAGTCAAATTCAACACTGAATCTGAAACTTCTTCGAATACATGTTTTGAAAACTTGAATTAAATGTCGATCAATATGATACTATTGTTACATGGTACGTTGGCCGATTATTTAAATTTCTCACTGAGGTGTCTTTTCAATGAGGCTGAGTTTAGAAAAGTGAGATCTGCCTTTTGAAAAGAATTCATGCAGAAAATGTGAGATTAATTTACGAAATCTTCGCGATACCAAATATATATAAAGCTAGGGATGGAGGTCTGTGCCTTTAAGAAAGTGGTCGTCTGCTCAAGAATCTACCATCCAACATGGCTGCCATGTTTCTGGTAGTTATCGCCCTTGCCTGTTCTGGAACAGTCTCCGCCGCCCCGCAGTTCTATCATGACGCTCCACCACCACCTGACGCCACGCCACCAACAACCAAAACACCAGTGACCTGCACAGTAAGTTCATTTTTCTCTTGTTTAGATTTGACATGTGTAGTTTCATGTAGAGTTCAATTTACTAGCCATGTTCCACTAGAGGATGTGGTATACAGATTCGATAAATCGGGGTAAAATCCCCCCCCCCCACCCTCCACACCGGCACGGCCTTGTAGTTATCTTCCCACAGGTCAGACGGGGGTAAGACGCCCATGAACAATTTTAAAATGTCCCAACATGCTTTTACCATTATTTTTATTCTCTTATAAAGTTGAACAAATTGTAGGGTAGTATCTAGCCTGATTCAATGGAAATAGATCAATGCTTCATTATTAATTTATCAGTGTTGTGTTTAACCTGTGTTTAACCTGTGTTTAACCTGTGTTTAACCTGTGTTTAACCTGTGTTTAATCTGTGTTTAACCTGTGTTTAACCTGTGTTTAACCTGTGTTTAACCTGTGTTTAACCTGTGTTTAACCTGTGTTTAACATGTTGTACAAAATATCTCAACAAGCCCTTCCTGCATGTTGAATAAATAGAGTTAATAAGGTTATTTCCCTTGCTTTTGTGCAGAAATATGAAATAAATTTTTTATTAGACATACTTTGTATTATGCAACGGAGTGAAAAATCATTTAAAGTTTCAATTAGTTGTATGCTGTAGTTAAGTACCTATCCAACAAAAATAAAATAGGTGTAAAATTTAAATATTTATTTTTGTTTCCACTTGTAATTCAAGACAATGTTTGTATGTATTTGCTGTACTATGATGTATAAATAAAATTTCATTCTCGTACTAAAAGATAAAATGATTAAGTAGTAAAAGATATTTAGTAACGTAGATGGTTAGGGAGGGAGGGGGGTGGTCTGATCAAATCCTAAATATACGTTTTCTGTTATTGATTCAAGCAATAAATCTGTGGAGAGTTTACCGCAGTTGTTAGTTATTCACGACGTGTCAAGAAAATGAAAACGTTGTAATTTTACTGTTTGAATGGACTAGCTGGTCAGAGCACACAAGAAATCTAAAGATCATTTGTTTAAAAAAAGGGCTGTCTTATAAAGTAGCGACACACTCGAATACAACTACATGTCATACAATTGTGGTGCTAAATAAATATAGAAACAAAACTGATGAAGGATTAAAGTATGGTAAAGAAAGTAACAGTTATAAAATTATCGTGGCAATTCTGCACTTTCATTCTCATAACGTGAATTTTTCTTCGAGGGGAGATGAGGGGGGATGAGGGGGTAAATGACATGGCTCTACAGTAAGCAAACGTTCAACATTGAAGGAGATCTGACTTGAACTGTAAGATAAATAATACAACCAATTCAACAGAGAGAGAGG